AGCTCTTTTTATTTCTGAATTTTAAGAGTTCTCTGCACATTTTGGATACACATCTTTTTATCAAATATATGTCTTTAAAATATTTTTCCCAGCCTGTGACTTGCCTTACCAAAGATGTATTTTTAAATGTATCTTTAAAGTATTCTATCACCCAGATCAAAGATAGGTACACAAGAAACTGAGAAGGGTCTCCTTCTCTACCTCCACCACTAAATTAACTGAAAATGTACCATTGTACACATGTAAGAAGTTTAAGGAGAAACTTTAATAATTATTTGACTTAAATGGAACATTCAAATCACATGTGTGTACATTACTTCTTTCAGAGCAGCAATAATTTACAAAGTCACACAGCTGAGTGAATCTCCCAGGATTAGAAACCAGGTTTTATGACTCCTGGATAGTCTTTCCAGTCCATCACGCTGACTCCTATTATCAAGATTTTGTCTTTTTTTTTTTTTTTTTTGACTCTGACTCACCATATAAATATTTGCGTTAAGTTTCCAGTCTTATTTATCAGCAACACAAAAAGTTTAAATCCGGTATGTGAAGTATCATTTTGGGTGAAAGTGACAGAACCCAATTAAAATTGACTTAAGCACACAAAGGGGGAATCTGTGAACCAGGGCAACCGAAAAGACCAAAAACTGGATAGAGGGATCTGTTGGCTCACATGAGTTCATCTTAATCTCTGTCCCCACCCCCCCCAACCCCTTCTCCCTGTCTCTCTCTCCCTCATTTACTTTCAGCAGAGCTTGTTCTCAGGCAGACTTCTCCATGAAGTCACACAATGGCCACCAACAGCTTAAGGCTACTATCATCTTGCAAAATCCAAGAAAAAGAAGCACCTCTTTCCCAACAGCACTAACAAAACTTCCAGATAGGGCTCATGGCCCAGTTTAGGACACACACTCACCTCTTAAACAGTGAGTTGGTCAAAGAAATACTTCTTAGGACAGGCCCTCCTAGGTGTCTTATCTGAACTTCAAATAGTGAGAATGAGGGAAGAGTGAGTCCTGAAAAGAAAATCAGGATGCTGTTTCCAGAAGAAGAGAGAACAAACATTGTTGCAAAATCTACAAACATCTACCACAACATCCATGCATTTATTTCTCTAAGTCTGTCCCTCCTGGTTCACACCCTTAAGACATGGGGCAGTAGTGCTCTATTTAAAATAGAAAACACGAACCTACTGTATAGCACAGGGAACTCTGCTCAATACTATACAACAATGTAAATGGCAAAAATTTGAAAAAGAATAGACATATGTATAGGTATAACTCTGCTGTACAGAAACTAACACATCATTGTTAATCAACTATATTCCAATATAAAGTAAAAAGTTTAAAAAAATGTAGGGCAGTAAAAAAAAAAAAAACAAAAACACTGGAATTGGAAGACCCGAATTCAAATCCTTCCACTGCTTAGAAGTCCTCTGAGTTTCAGATCCCTTATATTTAAAGTGAGGATAATACAACCTAACCTGGTGATATGGATAGGAGAATAAAATAATGACAAGAGCAAATACTTAATAGCAAATATCTCCTCCCCAGAGTTTCTGATTCGACACGTTTGGGGTGAAGCCTCAGAATCCACATGTCTAACAAGTTCCCATACAGTGCTGATGTTGCTGGTTGGGGACCACAATTTGGTAACCAAAGTATTAGATTACTGACTCTTCAGAACAACTGCCTGAGGGGCACTGGTATTACCCCTCACTTGTGGGTGAGTAAACTGAGGTTCACGCAGGTGGGCAAACTCCTTGTGTTCTTGTAGTCCCTGGGCTTTAAATTAGAGGGCACCCAGGAAACAAAGGTTAAAGAGCAAAATTTCCAAGACTTCCCAATCAAGCTTATGAAGGAAGAAATGAAAGAATTATTGTCTAAGCGAACTGACTGGAAGGGATGGGGCAGGCAGAACCATTGTGGTAAAAGGAAACAGGACGGCATGGGGTATCGAAGACGTTGGCATAGAGGGCAATAGCTGGGGCCAGCAGATTCCGAAGTAAACAGTGGTGCTTTTCAGGGCTGCTTTGGATATTCTATAGAACCTAAGAAACAGCTTTGGGAGAAATATTAAAAATCCTGTGACACAAACCACGTCCAATGTAGGAAGTTACATTACTCTTGAGTTTGTCAGGGTTAAACAAAATGTTGTACACTTTGTTAATTCAACAAACATTCATTAACCTCAAGTTCAGGGGAGGCACTGGTGATACAAGGTTGGAAAAGTCCATGGTTTCTGCCCTTAAGGAGCTCGTCAGGTTGCAAGTTAGCAGCCCATTCATCCATTCAGCAAACATTCATTCCATCCTCTGTCAATACAATTCCTTTTAAAAATGGTATCATTATTAACGTCACTTCTTTTTAATAGGTAAGGAAGTTGGGTCTCAGGTTAGGTAACTTGTGAAAGGTTGTGCAGTTATGGTACCTGGTACCTTTCATCCATTGGCTTCTGTACTCTGCACAACAACCCCTATGAAGTATGTATTTTTTGATAGCTCCATTTTACATAGAAGGAATTGATGCTCAGAGAGGGTAACTTTCCCCCAAACCACACCTGGAATATATGGCAGAGCTAGGATTCAACGAAATCCAGGTAAACTTGTTCTAGCATCTATGCTCTTAACCACTACGGTGTATTAATAAACAGTTCAACCAGAGCTGCTAATATATAAGGATCATATAAGGAGTAATAACACAATATACAACTTGCAAGTGTCAGCTTTTTGATTTTCATGTTTCTCTCTATTCCTTATTGTCCCATTAACTTCATTACAAAAAATAAATAACAGAGAAGGAAAAGGACACAATTATCTGGGGATAACTTTAAAAACAGGTTGAGAACACTGCTTAGAGTATGGGCTTTTACCCTCAGGTAACTGCAGACTTCTAACTCTTTGAAATCATCTATGCAGTTTAGCATGAATGAGCTTATTAGCATTTTTCTGAAGAGAAAGTCTACAACTTTCTTAGACTTCCTTAAAGAATCTGTGATCCAACAAAGTAAACAACCACCTACAGAAAAAAAAAGTCAATTAGCCTACCAGAAGCCAACCAAACACTGGGTGCTTCTATATTTTATTATTAAAAAGTAAAACTCAATAGCACAGGGAACTCTACTCAATACTCTGTAATTAACTATAGAGGGGAAGAATTTTAAAAAGAGTGAGTATATGTATAACTGATTCACTTTGTTACTCACCTGAAACTAATGCAACATTCTAAATCAACTATACTCCTATAAAAACTTTTTTTAAAAGTCTCATACATGCTATGGAGACATTAAAAAATATTTTTTACAACCCTGTGACAACACAGAAATACATGGATGCTGTAACATCAACAATATAAAAGTACAATATCGACTTTATCTCTTTACCATACATATTTCGCTCACTTCCTTTCCTTCCTTTCCTCCACACTGGACAGTACTTCTCAAAGTCACCAGTGACCATAACCTTGTCAGACCCAGCACCTACTTCTCTCTCCTCGGTTTTCACTATAGTTGGTGACCAGCTCTGCTTCTAGGCCAGGACTAGTCTGTTTCTATGTTACTAACTCTCTTTTCTGTCACCCTTCTGGCTGCTGCTAAACGTTGGAGCATTCTATTGCTCAACTTGGGTTCTCTTCTCTTCTTCCTTCTCCTTTAATCATCTCTCTCCCTAAATCATCTTATTCAGTTCCATGGCTTTAAATAACTTCACACTTTCAGTTAAGTGTATTTAAGTCACACCTCCAGCCCTGACCTCTACACTGAGCATTAGGCAGGAATATATTCAGTTTGTCTACTGAATATCTCTCATTTGTCTACTGAATATCTTACATTTACGATGTAAGCACCCCAGAATAAACATTTCCAAACAAAATTATTATTAATAGTAATATTATTCAGTTCAGCTCAGTCGCTCAGTCGTATCTGACTCTTTGCTACACCATGGACTGCAGCACCTCAGGCTTCCCTGTCCATCACCAACTCCCCTGTCCACTACCAATTCCCTGAGCTTGCTCAAAGGTATGTCCACCCAATAGGCGATGCCATCCAACCATCTCACCCTCTGCTGTCCCCTTCTCCTCCTGCCTTCAATCTTTCCCAGCATCAGGGTCTTTTCTGAGTCAGTTCTTTGCATCAGGTGGCCAGAGTATCCAATGAATATTCAGCTCCAATGAATATTCAGGGTTGATTTCCTTTAGGATTGACTGTATTCAGCTCCTTGCAATCCAAGGGACTCTCAAGAGTCTTCTCCAACACCACAGTTCAAATAGAACAGAGCACGGGCCATAGCAGCCTCTCCAGAAATACTGAATGAAGTGAAAAAACATCTGTCTCTCTCTCACACACACACACACACACCCCTGTTTAACAACAGGACATAAAACTGGTAGGAAAATAACAAAAAGCTAATTGGTTGTGCATGAAACCATGAGTTACTGTGCGATGTGTGCGTGCTAAGTCGCTTCAGACTAGTAGCCCTCGAGGCTTCTCTGTCCATGGCATTCTTCAGGCGAGAATACTGGAGTAGGTTGCCATGCCCGTCTCCAGGCGAACTTCTCAACCCAGGGATTGAACCCGCGTCTCTTACATCTCCTGCGTTGGCAGGAGGGTTAAGAATATCAGACTTTGAAGCTGAGTGACCTCTGTCAGACTGCCACTTACCGGCTGCTCGTCCTTGCTTTCTTCGTAGGCCAAAGAGACTTAAAAACATGTACCTCATTCCCAATCATGTAACGTTCACAATGCGTTTTACTGTGAAACCAGGAAGGTAAAGAACTTTGCTTGGTGTAGGGTACATAGTGAGGGTTAGTGATGGTCAGCTGTTAATGACGACGGGCGTGTTTTCTTTTATGATAAAAATGCACATTTTTCTTATAAACCTTCGCTTAAGGCAGCTGATAAACTTCCACACCCACCTATTCAGACACTTCGCCGTTCCCAGAAGGCTCTGGGGACTGGCGCGCCTGCTCCGTCAGCCACTTCCGTTCACGTGATCCGCCCAGGCTCCTCCCCGTTTCCAACATGGCGGCTCCCACGGGCTCAAGCCGCACGTGAGATAGTCCAAGTACGTGGGAGTGCAAGTGGGTGAACCAGTTTTCCTTCTCTACAGCCGGTAGCATCCCTTCGACCCTTCCCGAGATCCTCGCGGGCCGCTGCCCCTCTGCAGCCATGAAGCCAAAGCCGGTTTCCCACAAGACCGAGAACACGTACCGGGTGAGCGAGGGAACCTGCCGGTGGGCCTGATTCTGAGCGGGACTATAGGAGTACCGTGCTCCGGACCGAGCGGGAGTCTCTTGTCCGTAGGCTGTGGCAAACGAGCCTTCTTCTCTCCTGGCGTAGTAAATAATGGGATGGGGAAGGAAGCCCGAACTCCAGATTTCCGCTGTGGTTTGTGGGGTCTGGCTTGCTTGAGAGGTCCCGTCAGACCAGAATTAAATTCAGTATCACAGACTAACCGGTTAGGAATAATTTTTTTGCTCTTTTATCCTTGAAGACCGAATTGGGGAGGCGGGTCGGTGGAGGAGGTAAGTGATTTACAGTTTCTGGTTGATACACCACTTTCTGTTTGTTTCTTGAGGGTTTCTTTGTTACTCCACAGCCATAGGTCTGTGTATACTTAAAAATACAATTGGTGAAACGACTTCGCCAGATTCTCTGCTTGCAGCAGGATATGAGTGAAACCTAGCAGTAGATCAGGCGAGGCCACATTGCTATCTTTTAACAGTCTACTATGGGAATTTCATTTTAAACATTTTGCAAATACACTCATGGAAATATTTCACTTTCTTGCTATAGTAGTGCAGTGCATTTGTTTAACGCTCGTTCCGTTTGTTTAAAGTTGTCTTTTGTGATTCATCAGTGATGTCTACTTCTAGTTGTAAAACTCAGTTATACATTTTATGATTTATTGAAAATACAAGTCTGAAATTGAAAGTGAAGCATATCATCATTTCTAATGATAGAACATGAGGCGGTGTATGGAAGCTTTAAACTTTATACTTTCACAAGGAAATTGTCAACATATGATTATATAACACTAAAACGTATTCAAGATGTGAAACGAATAAAATGATAATGTATTTTAAATATGCTCCTCCCCTTCAGTTTCTTACATTTGCTGAGCGACTGGGGAATGTGAATATCGACATTATTCACCGGATTGATAGAACTGCAAGCTATGACGAGGTAAGAGAATGTTAAATTAGCTGATCTTCAAGTACTCATAGTTGATTTCTCAGTCTGAGATGTGAATTATTTCTTAAGCCATTCTTTTATGAACGTGAAATGATTAGACTTGTGCTGTCTCAAACAGTAGCCACACTTGACAGATTAGATAGAATTAAATAAAAAATTCTAGTGCTCAGTAGCTGTATGTGGCTAGTTGATACCGTGTTGACCAAATGCAGATGTGGAACATTTTCCATCATTGCAAAAGTTCTATTGGATGATGTTAGAAAATTGACTGGATTCTCAGGTGACCTCTGACTCCACTCTCTCCCTTCCCTTGTGCATTCTGAGCCCTGCTGCAGATCTGTATTCCTGAAACTACAGTTTTAAAGAGATTTTGAGCAAGTTACTTTACTGGGGCTTAGTTTCCTCCTTTATTAAAAAAGGAGGGGGGGGGTGCTTGACCATATAACTTTTTTCCATTTCTGATCATGCTGTAATTCAGCCATAACTCTATTCAAAAATCACTGCATCATTTTTCTGCCAACATTTTTATAACATGCCATCAACTTGATTCAACCTCAGTTTTTACAGTTTTTCACTTGACTCTAGTCAGGCTCTGCTCACTGTCACTTTGAATGCCTTGTCTTTAATATGTGAATTCAGTGTTATCAATATATGAATTCAGCTAAGTGATGTTATCTAGGTAGGCACATAATGCTTTGGGAGCTCACAGTGAAGGGAGCCTAACCAAGATTCTTTGGGGGTGAAAAGTGAGGTGTCAAAAAAGGTTAAATAGACAAAGTGTTACATGAATTGAGTCTTGTTTCTACAGATTTTAGCATGGCAAAGAAAGCAAGAAAGGCTGATTCAGGTTGAGAAAGAAACCTTTATAAAGGAATAGAGGCTAAAGAGAACATGTCACATTCAAGAACCTGCAAAGCATTTTGGTGTGCTCATAATTGGATGTGGGATGTTTGTGTTGATGGTAACTGTGAATGGGTGAAAGAGGTAGCTGGTGAAAGATAATGCTGAAGAGATATTCAAGGACCATGACAGACTTCATATCCAGCTAAGTTTGAATTTATCCTGAAGCTATGAGAAATCATTCTAGGATTATAAGGCAGGAGAGTGTGTGACATGATCCAAATGTAAGTTTTAGATCTCTTTGGCTTTAATGTGGAGGAAAGAGCATGGCTGGAATCAGGGCAACCATTTTTGAGGATTCAATAGTCATCGAAGGAAGAACTTTAGTTTCATATAAATATGTGTAAACACTTAAAGAGGGTTTTTTTTTTCTCTCTCTTAAGAAAAATTGGTTCCTACCGTATTCCTCACTATAAAACCTGCTTTTCTCAGTTTGAAAGAATACTGCCAACATCCTTCTAATTCAGTAATAGATACAATTTTTTGATAGACACATGGTATATCTTATTATGTATAGACCATGAGGTATATGCCAACCATTTTCCTATTGTTGGATATTTAGACTTTTTTATATTCCCCCCTACAATAAAGCTGAATGAACATCTTTATACTTATATATTCACAAATTTTGTGAGAAAATCTCCAAAAATGGAATCGCTGGGTCAAAGGACATACCTGTTTTTAATTTTAATAGTAATGCCAGATTACTTCTCTGTAAGAGTGTAGCAATTCATATTTCCAAAAGCAGAATGAAAGAACTGTAAGCCAACATTTTTCTTGGCCTAAAATTGTGAAAAAAAAAAATCTTCGTTCTTATTTACCTTGATTATAGTTTTTCTTTGAGTTGTCTGATGGACTGCTTTAATCTTGGCAGGAAGTTGAAACCTACTTTTTTGAGGGTCTGCTGAAGTGGAGAGAATTGAACCTGACGGAACACTTTGGTATTTTCTGTTTTGTTTCTATTTTATTCATCTGTCATTTGCACTGAAAACGGTCAAAACAGCTAAAGAGTGGTGTGATGGAAAAGTAGAACTTTTTTTTTTCTTCACCCAGGGAAATTTTACAAAGAAGTTATTGACAAATGCCAGTCATTCAATCAGCTGGTGTATCATCAAAATGAGATAGTTCAGAGTTTGAAGACTCACCTGCAAATCAAGAACAGTTATGCCTATCAACCCCTTTTGGAGTAAGTATACTGTAGGCACCTTATGCGAAGAGTTGACTCGTTGGAAAAGACCCTGATGCTGGGAGGGATTGGGGGCAGGAAGAGAAGGGGAAAACAGGATGAGATAACTGGATGGCGTCACTGACTTGATGGACGTGAGTTTGAGTAAACTCCGAGAGTTGGTGATGGACAGGGAGGCCTGGCGTGCTGTGATTCATGGGGTTGCAAAGAGTCGGACATAACTGAGCGACTGAACTGAACTGAGCATGTTGACAGAAAGGTGACAACATTTATCTGAATTTTAAGAAAGATTGCTTCATAGCTACATGTGCTTTAGATCTGGTGTTTGTAATGTAGAAGCAAGAATTTACCTTTTTTTGTTGTTGTTAGATTAAAATACTAGTACGTTACTGTAAAGCAGAATCAAGAACCTGATTTTTGACAGTCTTGAAATGATTGACCGTAACTTGTGATAGAATGTATTTTCTTGCTCTAGCCTGATTTCTTTGCTCAACTCTTAAAACATGAAAAATTTTATACTTCTCTTGAGACTTCGTTTAGAAGGTTCAGTTAATCCTTTCATCATAGGCAATTGGTTATCATTTGTGAACTAGATTTGTAGTGTTTGGTTTTTGATCTTTATATCTCAGAATCAGTTACCTCCTTTATTTTTTTCATCCAGTTTGGTTGTACAGTTGGCCCGAGATCTGCAGACAGACTTCTATCCCCATTTTCAGGATTTTTTTCTGACCATCACCTCAATCCTGGAGACTCAGGACACAGAGTTGTTAGAATGGGCTTTCACCTCTCTGTCATATCTGTACAAGTATCTTTGGAGACTGATGGTGAAGGATATGTCCAATATATACAGGTAACCCTTTTCTCTCATTCAGGTTTTTCTTTTTGTCCTCTTCTTTTTTTTTTCTTTAAAATTTTATTTTGTATATAATTATGACCGTAACTTGTGATAGAATGTATTTTCTTGCTCTAGCCTGATTTCTTTGCTCAACTCTTAAAACATGAAAAATTTTATACTTCTCTTGAGACTTGGTTTAGAAGGTTCAGTTAATCCTTTCATCATAGGCAATTGGTTATCATTTGTGAACTAGATTTGTAGTGTTCGGTTTTTGATCTTTATATCTCAGAATCAGTTACCTCCTCTATTTTTTTCATCCAGTTTGGTTGTACAGTTGGCACGAGATCTGCAGACAGACTTCTATCCCCATTTTAAGGATTTTTTTCTGACCATCACCTCAATCCTGGAGACTCAGGACACGGAGTTGTTAGAATGGGCTTTCACCTCTCTGTCATATCTGTACAAGTATCTTTGGAGACTGATGGTGAAGGATATGTCCAATATATACAGGTAACCCTTTTCTCTCATTCAGGTTTTTCTTTTTGTCCTCTTCTTTTTTTTTTCTTTAAAATTTTATTTTGTATATAATTCAGTGCTATTTAGTAAATTTATAAAGTTATGCAACGATCACCACAATCCAGCTTAAGAACGTTTCCATCATCCCCAAAAGATTTCCCATGCCCTTCTGCAGTCATTCCTGCTCCCCATCTGTATCAGCTTTGAGAGCAAGAGCAATATGCACTTGTCGAACACAAGATCTCCTCTGTGGAAACAGCTGTGTGCTCGAAGCCCCTCGGAAGAGTGAGCCTCTTCTACAATGATAGTTTTTAGCGTTTCAGTTGTGTTAAGGTTTTCTCTTTCGGTCAAGGGAAGTTTTTATTTTGTAGTTCTTGGCCACACTGGATCTTCGTTACTGCACACAGGCTTTCTCCGGTTGTGGCAAACAGGCGCTACCCCCGAGTTGCAGTGTGCGGGCTGCTTTTGTGGACACGGGCTCTTGATGCATGAGCTTCAGCACTTGCGGCACAGGGGCCAAGTTACTCCGTAGCCTGTGGAATCTTCCCAGATCAGGAGTCGAACCCATGGCCCCGGCTTCGGCAGGCAGATTGTTTATCCACTACACCACCAGGGAAGTCCAGGCAGTTTTCATTGGTACTGACAACAGCCAGTCCTAGAACTTTTAATGTCTGTTACCTTCAGTCTTCCATTTGACATGTGAGTGTCATGGAAATTGAATGAGATTTTAAACTGCTTATTTTATTATACCTTCCTTGCATTCCTTGCATAGTGTTGAGAACATAATTGACACGTACTATTAATACATCTTTATTAAAATGATTAATTAAATGTCTTATTTTCTCATTTATAGCATGTATAGTACACTTCTGGCTCATAAAAAGCTACATATAAGAAATTTTGCTGCTGAAAGCTTTACTTTTTTGATGAGAAAGGTTAGTTTGATAATTATATGTTTATTGCTCATTAATCCTCAAGAATCTGATGAACAGAAGACAATATCTTTTATAATATGGTTATTATGGACTGACATATATATGTAAAAATGGAAACCTATTACTGTTTTGAGGTTATCTAATCATAAGGTTGTTTTTGCTTACTAATATGAAATAATCTGGTTGCTTCTTTTATTGTTATTTGGTATATATACATTCTCTAATTCACGTCAGTCTAGACATGAACAGTGAGATTAACAGGGATTTTTATAATAGTTTCCTGTAAGCAACTGATTGTATAGTGTCATTTGTTTTTGTTTTTATAAGAGTTTTTATAATTATTGCTATTAAATTTCTCTTATACTCATAAAAGATAGAATGTTGCCTTATATAGTTTTCCTTGGTACATACCTTCATATTATACCAATGAATAATATAATGAATATATATAATATAATATATATAATATGATATAATGAATAACATATCACTCTCGTGTAACATGTGTAACGTTACAGATGTTACTGTACTCTTGCAGTAGTTTGAAATCATTGCAAGTGTCTCTTTTCAGAATTTTTGTCCTTATTACATTTAAATAGAAATCTGTAGAATAGCAAATAATAATTCTTCTCTTGGATATGTTTATGTTGTAAATGCAGTTTTCCATTTGCATTTTGTGTTTCATTTTCCATTTGCATTTTGTGTTTCAGGTTTCTGATAAAAATGCACTTTTCAATTTAATGTTTCTTGATCTTGATGAACATCCAGAAAAGGTAGAAGGCGTTGGACAGTTGCTCTTTGAAATGTGCAAAGGAGTTAGAAATATGTTTCACTCTTGTACAGAGAAGGTAAATAAGTTACAGGAGTTCCTTGAGTCTTTGTGAACAGGATTAAAAAGGAAATGGATGATATTTACACAGGTGATTCAGAGAGAGGATTACGTAGAATAAATAGAAAACATTTGGGGAGCATTAGCGCTATAAAAGCAGTGTTCACCTAATATAGGCCCTGGGTTATTAGGTATTTCTCATGTAAAAAATCACTGCTCTCTTTTTCATCCTGCATGCTGGAAAGTAACGTAAATTGATCAGTGAGTGAAGGTGATGAGGGGTGGGCAGTTGTATGATAAAATTCCTAATCCTAGTTTTGAAATTCTTTTGAGACACATAGTTAACCACCCAAAATGTCATATCCTTGATTGTCCTGAATCAGATTTTAAGATAGAGTGGAGAATAATCAAGAGTGGAAATAACAGTGTAATACTTGAGACTAAGAGTGTACATATTCATTTTCATGACTCGAATTTCCACAGGCAATAAAGCTAATTTTGCAAAAGCTTGGACCAGTTACAGAAACAGAAGCTCAACTTCCATGGATTTTAGTTGGAGAAACACTCAAAAACATGGTCAAATCCACTGCACTCTATATCTCCAAAGAACATTTTGGAATATTCTTTGAATGTTTGCAAGTGAGTTCTGGTTTTTAAGTATTTGTGTGTAACTAGGAGTCCAAGAGTTGATTGCTGTTGTTCTTAGCTTAGCGGATTGCTGCTGGAGATTATATTTTATGATTGTTGTTATCATAAGTTTACACACTTAACTAGGATTTTTGTTCCCTCTATCCCCTGTACTAGTATTTTTACTCACTTTCAGTATCTTGAGATGCATGCAGTAGACCATAGTGGTTAAGAGCACAGGCTTTGGGGCTATACAGATGGCCTCTTTGCAAACTGGCTTTGTCACTTACTGCTTCTTTGACTTGGGAAAGTTATTTCAGTGTCTAGTCCTCAGTCTTTTCATCTGGTAAATAAGAGTAATAGTATTCTCTACCTGTGAGGATGGTGAGGAAACACTTGTTAGTAACTTGGAACAGTGCACTCAGAAACGTTCGTGGTAATGTCTATGGCCAGACCACCCTGAACTCACCCAATCTCATCTGATCTCAGAAAGCTAAGCAGGACCAGCCCTGGTTAGTACTTGGATGGGAGTAACATTCGTGGTTATCATTAGTGATTCCCAGTAAAGGCGTCTTTTTCTTTCATAGCAAAAGAACATGAAAATTTGAGTGGCTTTACATAATATTTTCATTATTAACAGATGAGTTTGATAGTTGATAGTTTTTCTCTCTTAAATTCTTTGCAGGAATCACTCCTGGATCTACATACAAAAGTAACCAAAACTAACTGTGGTGAAAGTTCTGAACAGGTTAAAAGGTTGTTAGAAACATACCTGATACTTGTAAAACATGGAAATGGATCAAAGATAACCAAACCTGTTGATGTGTGTAAAGTAAGTTCCCAACTTAATTTGCTTAAAGCATGTTTGTTAGAAGCTGATTGCTAAGTGTGCATCGTTTTCCCTTTTGTTTTACAGGTCTTGTCTCAAACATTACAAACAGCCCATCTCTCTACATCTTGCCGGGAGACACTCTTGGGTGTAGTTTCTGCTTTGATCCTAGGCGAAAATGTTTCCTTGCCAGAGACCCTCATCAGAGAAACCATAGAAAAAGTAATTTACTTCAGCAAATATTAATCAAGTAGTTAATATTATGTTTAGCATTGAATAAGCCTTCAGCAGAATACCAGTGAAGCCTGGCAAAGGCTCTGCCTTCATGGAATTTATAATCTTGTTAAGGAGATGTGAATCACATGCTGTATTGGAAATAAAACAAACATGATAAAAGCTAAATCTGCTCAGCAAATATTCACCAAACATTTACTTAACCAGGTGCAGGCTATGGACTAGATATGGTAGGATGGACACTTTTTTTTTTGCCTGTGATTTTTTCATTGTTAGGGAGGTGAGGTCCTGGTAGTATATAGTTAAAATCTGTTGAATCAGTCTATGAACATTTTTGTCACATTGAAACATAAAGGTTAATTCTGTCTGGGATTGTGGAACAGTAACACTTTTCAAAGGACTTATATTTTGGATAGTCTTTAAAGGTTAAATATCAGTCTGCCAGTCAGAGAAGGAATTAAATACTCTAGAAGAGAGAAGAACAAAGATGTGTTCAGAAATCTATGCCATATGGGCTCATGGGCACAGGAAGTGTGATGTATATCAGCAAGGCTCTGCTTGGCTTTGAAAAGTTAGGTTGGATTTTTTTCCTCTACAAGTAGTGGAGGGTCCTGGAAAAATGATAAACAGGGAAATAATTGAATGAGATTGGCATTTTAGTGAGTTAAGATGAAGTGGAGGGAGGTGGGATTGAAAGTAAAATCAGTTCGGTTCTTCGTAGGGCAGCAGTGTAAAGTTACAAGGAAGGTGTAAAGTGTTGCTCGCCCTTTGATGTTTCTGTGTAGCTGGGAAAGAATGAGCAGGTCTTAGGCAGAGCCCCTGTGTGGATCATTGGAAGAACAGTGCCCTTCGAATCTGTAAGTCCCTTTGGAGAAGGCCGAGCACTTAGAACGCTGGTGGGAAGGTGCCGGCCATTCCTCTACTTGGGTAGTTTCTTTCCTGTGGAGGAGGGCCCAGTGCCTGGGCTCACACCTGGTCTACAGTGGCAGACTCAGCGAGCCAGTTCTTTCTGCTTCCCATGACTACCTTAACTTGTGCTGAGCATCCCACTGCTTCCTACTTGCAAGCTAGAGGACCTTGAAGATTTGGGATGTTTTTATTTTCAGGAATGGGAGAGTACTCTCTTTGTACTTACATTAGTATTCTTTGCCACAGATTTTTGAAAGCAACTTTGAAAGACGCTTAATTTTGGATTTTTCAGAAGTCATGTTTGCTATGAAGCAGTTTGAGCAGGTGAGTGAGATTATTAAGTCTTGGATTTGACTGTGTCATGATGAAATAATTAGTTTTAAAAATCCTGTGATTTTTGTTTTTTTGAAAGGAACAGAAAAGGATTTGATGTTGTAAAATTTTTTTTTAAGCAATTATATTCCAGTTCTAGGTCACATGTGAAACTTTATTCCACATGCTAAGCATTTTAAATTATAATAGGTAACCAATTTGGTTTTAATAATCTTTTAGGAAGTTATAGCCTGTAGTGGTGGCCCAGAAGGTAGAGAACTGTGCCTGCAGTGTGGAATGCCTGTGTTCAGTCCCTGGGTTGGGAAGATCCCCTGGAGAAGGGAATGGCTACCCACTCCAGTAGCCTGGAGAATCCCATGGACAGAAGAGCCTGACAGGCTATAGTCCATGGGGTTGCAAAGAGTTGGACACAACTGAGTGACAAACACTTTCACACTTTTCACCTAGGAAGTTACAAAACCATGTGTCATCAAATCTTGAGTTTATCTTTTCCCCTCACTCGCATCAAACATTTGCCACTCCTTAAAACTGGTGATCCTACTGTGTACTTCATAGAAATCTATCTCTGTATCTGTTCTCTCATTTTCCCCTTTAGTCTTTAATAATACATACTTTTGCTTGTCTCAAAAAAAAAAAGCACTTCTTTAGACATGTCCTAGCGCTCTCCTTTCCTGCCCAGTGAGGACCCTTTATATCTCTCTGATTTTCTTGGCAGCTGCATCTTTTCCTTCTCTGTTCCTTTTGGTCTTTTTCTTTAAATAATTTATTTTTATCAGAGTATCCTATGCATGTAGTTTGAAAGGTCACACAGGGCTGAAAAACAGTTGCTGATTCCCACCCCCATCTTCCTCACCAGGAACAAGCACACCTAATGAATTTTTTTAAGCTATTTTTTTTCTAGTATTTACTTTCTATTTTTAAGTCATCTGAACATACTGCTTTTTCTTGACACATTAAATTTAGTCCTCATGTGTAGGCTTCCTCCTGGGTAGGTGGATTCTAGTTCTTTTATACTACTTTTCTCAATTGAGAGTTAACATCACAAAGTTTCGTTGAGGTCATTTTCAGTACTCCTTATAAGCAAGGAGTATTTTATATTTACATTTCCTTTTTTGTGTACCCTTTCATTTTTTCCAATTGCCTCATTCTTTAAAAACTGGAAATTGCCTTTTTAAAATTGTTCGTCATAGAGCCTTCCAACAGCCTCGTAGGATGCCTTTCACATAGCAAACTAGCAGATCATTTAACAGATCTTTTCTCTTCTGGAGACAGTCTTCCCAGAGCCATTTAACTCTGAACGGATTGCTTTCTCTGCCCACTGCACAGATGCCATGCTGGGACTCGCCTGTTTCCTGGGTCCCATGTCTTTCTCTTACTATAGCTTGCTTTATTATGTTGTAGTTTACTTTCTTATTTTGGTGAAACACATCCTCCAGAGGCTCCTGAGAAAAGGTGAACAGTGGTAAAATTCTAGCTTTAGTCCATCTTTGGTCTTGTCTCCTTACTCTATGCCACCAGTTCTGCAGGCACAGCGTTTCAGATTCTTTGATTCTTCCAGTTTCTCAGGCCTTGCTCGATTGTCTTCTTGCCTCCTTTGCTCCTGTGGAGAGGTCTGGTGTCTTTGTTTATGATCTCTTTTTCTTTGTGGAAGTGTTAGAATATTCCTTCATTAGGTGTTCTGAAATTTATATCTGTTAATAAGTGTGATTTTTTTCTTTTGTATTTTTAGCTTTTCCTACCCAGCTTTCTCTTGTATATTGAGAATTGCTTCCTGACGAATGATGCTGCAGTCAGAGATGAAGCTCTGGCTGTTTTGGCCAAGCTCATTCTTAACAAAGCAGCACCTCCCACCGCTGGCTCCATGGCGATTGAAAAGTACCCTCTGCTTTTCTCCCAGCACACAGTGGGGTAAGTTCTAAAGTCCTAATTTCCTATGTTCTTGGTAGGGTCACCCATTTAAAAATAATGCATTCAGAATATTGTAAAAACTGAAGATCTGCATGTATTAACTGAAAAAATGTCTGTGATATATTGTTACATGAAAAAAATAAGTTGTAGGAGAGTATGTATATTACCATCACATTTTGCAAAGTTAGAATCGAAAGTATATATTAGCATAGGAACACATGTGGAGTGGTATAAAAACAGGTTAAATTGTTAACTTCAGTAAGGTGGTAAGTGGAAGAAAGAAGGCATTTTTTTAACCTTTTATTTTAAAGCGATTGTATATTCACGTGTGGTTATGATAAACAGGACAGAGAGGTTCCATATACCTTTCCTGTACTTTCCCGCAGTGGCAACATCTTACATAAACTTATTGTAGTATCACAACCAGAAAATTGACATCAGTACAATCCACCAACCTTATTCAGGTTTACCAGTTTTACATCACTCATCTCTGTGTGTAAATGTATATGGATATATAGTTCTGTGCGGTTTTATCTCATGTCTATTCACAACCAGGACCAGAGTCAAGATACAGAGCTGTTCCATCACTGCAAGGATCTCTGGTGCTACTTTCAGTAGCCACAGTTACCCTGCGGCTCTGCATTCCAACCCTAACTCTTGGCAACTACTAATCTTACACTCTGTTTTTACACTTTTGTCATTTCAAGAATAATATATACATGAATTATACTGTACAGCGTTGGAGATGGACTTTTCCACACAACATAATTCCCTTGAGACCCATCTAAGTTGTGTGCATCAGTAACCTGTTCTTTTTTATGTTGAACATATTTCTGTGTGTTGTTCCTGAGTAGTATTCCAAGGTAATGGATGAAGCAGTCTGTTTAGTCATTCACTTGTTGAAGATATTTATGCCATTCCTAGTTTTTGGCTATTATGAATAATGCTGTTATTAACATTCACGTACACGGCTTTCCATTTCTCTGAGATAAATGCTTAAAAGCAGACTTGTTGGATTATATGATAAGGGCATGTTCACGTTGATAAGCTGTCAAATAGTTTTGCAGAGTGGTAGTGCCATTTTACATTCCCACCAGGAGTATAGGTGATCCCGTTTCTCTGCATCCTCACATTTGATATTTGATATTATCACATATAATATCAGCATTTGATATTGTCACTGATTTTTTGGTTTTGCCAGTCCAATAAGATGTAGTGATATCTCATGGTGGTTTTAATGTGCGTTTCCCTAGTGGCTAAGGATGTTGATATGCTTATTTGCCATCTGCATATCATCTTTAGTGAAATATATGTTCATTTCCTTGATCCATTTTCTACTTGATTGTGATTGTTTCTTTATTGTTGAGTTTCAAGAATGCTTTATATATTCTGATATAAATCCTTTCACCTGCTCTGCAAGTATTTTCTTCCAGTCTGTAGCTTATCTTCCTTCACTTAACAAGATTTTTCACAGATCAGAAGTTTTAAATTTTGACAAGGCCCCCTTTTTTTTTTTTTTGGATAATGCTTTTGATGTCGAGTCTAAGAACTTTTTTCCTAGCTGTAGTTCTCAAGTATTTCCTCCTATTTTTCTTAAAGTCTTTTTATGTTTTACGTTTAAGTCCATGATCCATTTTGACTTAATTTTTATATAGGTGTGAACTTTAGATCAAGTTTCCTCTTTTGCCTCTAAATGTCCACTGCTCTGGCAAGATTTGTTGAAAAGGCTATTCTTTCTCATTGAACCGCTTTTGCGTCTGTGTCAGAAATCAGCTGGACATTAATGTGTGGAACTTTCTGGCTGTCTCTTCTGTTCCATTGATCTATGTGTCTCTTCTCCTCTGATGCCACACTGTCTTATTACTACAATAAAATGAATCAGGAAATCTTCAATCCTTCCACTGTGTTCTTCGTTTTCAAAATTGCTTCATCTATTCCTGGTCCTTTCTTCTTCTGTATAAATTTTAGAAGAAACTTGTCTATGTCTACAAAAATATCCTTGCTGGGATTTTGTTTTGAAGTATATTAAATCTAAAGGTCAGTTTGGGGAGATTTGACAACTCCCTCAAGATACACAAAACCGTTACCTTTATTTATGTCAGAAGGATGGTAAGAGGAAGAAAGAAGTGATTATTAGCTTTTAGATTTACACTTTTGCATTGTTTGAATTGTTAAAAGGGCTGTGGATTACTTTCTCAGTTTTATTAAAAATGATACATACTCTTTGGAAGTTAAAGCAAAGTTTATGTAGTTATTTGAAAGGATTCTGCTTATTTTTTTTCAAATGGAAATTGTCATTCCTAATAAATGGAAGCATATTAACTTAAAGCAAGTGCCACAGGTTCTGTGTTTTCTTTCTGTAAGAAAACTTCCACCACTAAGAAAATTTCTGTCACCCTGTAGAATAACTTGTCTTTGAATATTCCTGGTCACACTTCATTCACAAATTTATAGTGGAAATTAAAGAAGATAATAGATGTGAAAAAAGTCATCAGAAGATAAATGTATTCTGTCATTTGACAGATACTTATCATATCAGGTACTGTTCTAGGCACTGGCATGTAATAATGAAAAAGGGCTTCTCTGGAGGAGATGACACTCTCAGTGGGGGAAGCTCATGAGGCAGGTAAATAAACAGGATAATTTTAGATAGTGATAAAAGAAAAATAAAACAGGGTGTCGATAGAGAGTAGACAGAGAACAGCACTAGTCCTGTCTGGAGGGGGACCTTTAGTCTGATTGTAATGGTAGAAGGATCCAGCCTGGCAGAGAAAGGCTGGGTGAAGGTTTTCCAGACAGAGAGGAGAGTTCCTGCAGAGACTGTAGGATGGGAATAAGCCTGTATGTTTGAGGAACTAAAGGCAAGCCGTGCAGATAAAGAGCATTGAGAAGGGAAGAGAGTGGAATTAGAGGCAGTGAGAGAAGGAGACGAGGGTCAGATCACCCAGGGCCGCACAGCGTGAGGTGAGAATTGTGGGCTTTATTGGAGGAGCTCATTGGCAGGTGTGATAAAGCGGGGGGATGACATAGTAACTAATGGCTTACCTTTATGAAGCATCTCATTCTTTTTTTATTTGTAAGATTTTATGCAGATTATTAAGTCATGGTTAGTACTAGGAAGACTGTGTAAACAAGTTCTAAAACAACTTTTAGAAATTACCAGTAAAATTAATTTGATTTTTATCTATTGTAGTTTCTAAGCATTCAGTATCCTGATAAGTATGAAACAAAACAGAATGCGACTTTTTCATTAACTTTAATGATAAAAAGGTATAGGAATAAAAACCTGATATTCTACTTCAGTTTTGTAACAAGTTTACCAGACTGGTCATGGAAGGATAAATTATAATAGCAGATCATTTTATTTATTGTTTCTTTGACTTTTCTTTCTGTTAGATTCTGTCTTTGAAATAAGACTGAGGTAGAGTTCATTGGTAAACAAGAATACTGCCCAAGTAACAGGTACCTAAAACTGAGTGTCATGTCAGAAAATACCATTGAGTAAACACTTAGCAGATTAAAGCAGCAGAGGAAGTAACTTCTAATACTGTCTGAGCCGCCAGGGAAGCCCCTTAATCGTTTTATCATGTTAAAAAGGAAAGGGGGGGATGGAAGAAGTCAGTTCATACCAATAAATTACCTTAAACGCTTGTCCATCAGTAGTTCAAATTCAGAAATAATACCTAGAACTGGAAGAGACTTGCTTTGCAAATTATGAAGCAAATTAAAATAGAAAAAGCAGAACCAATGGGTTTGAAAAACCTTGTCACTGAAAATCAGTAAATGAGTCACATGTGTTTAGTTATTTGTATTCAACCATCAGCACCAATTCCTTCCTCCCTGCTCATCTCCACACATGGAAAGGAAGCAGTTTTTAAAAATTAATTTAATTGAAGTGTAGTTGTTCCACAGTGTCGTTCGCTTCTGCTGTAGAGCAGAGTGAATCGGCTGTGTGTGTGTGTATACTCCCTGTTTTGGATGTCCTTCCTTATTAGTCACCGCTGGGCGCTGAGTAGAGTTCCGTATGCTGTGCCGTAGGTCCTCACTAGTTGTCTATTTTATACATGGTGTCAGGGGAGGAACCAATTTTATTTCAAACTTCAGAGGGCAAAAGCAATTACCTCCTTTCTTATTTTAAATATTCATCTTTTCTTTCAGATCCTATATAAGGCAGAAGATGACGAAATCCAAGGGAGGAAAGGAACAGATCTCGGTGTTGGAGCATCTTTTATCTATAATTCAGACACCTCCAAATCAAGATACTACTTACCTTTCATGTTCTTGGGCAGCCCTTGTCGTGTTACCTCATGTTAGGTGAGAAAATCAACTGTGTTTAATTGTGAAAAGTATTTTAGCAAACTGGTGAAAATATTTACTACTAATTTTTTTGCTATTTCACGAAAAAGTTGTTGAATGCCAGTTTGAGTGTTTCCCTTTTTCTCTCCACTTCTTGGACAGGCCCCTGGAGAAAGAGAAGGTGATACCACTAGTCACCTACTTCATCGAGTCACTCTTCATGACTGTTGACAGAGGGAGCTTTGGAAAAGGTCAGTTATAATCACCATTTGTTCTCTTGTCTGTCTTTCCTGGCACACCCAGAAGAACTGTAAACACATGGGTACCAGAGAACAGTACCACTGTTGTATTCTGGCAGAACCCCGTGAGTGTAAATGGGGAAGAAAGAGGCTGAGATATAATTACGAGGTCACCACCTCGTACTGTGGCTACCAGGTCAGGATGGTCTGAACATCTGCCTGAGTCCACAGGTAAAGCAGCAGAATGCTACTATTGTCAAAGAAACGAGATACAACTGCAAGTACCAACTTGTGACTCCTTCGCATCTTCTGTGCCCAGGCCAGCCGCAGTGTACACTTGTCTTCCAGCGTTTACTTCTTCTGAGCAAGATATTCTCTTGTGCCCCCCCCCAGCTACCCTCACACATGTGTCCCTTCTGCCTGGAGTCCTTTCTAGGTCTGTCGTCGTTCACTGAACTCGTACTTAGCTTTCAAAACAGCTCCAGCAAAGTATCTCTAGGAAAGCCTTCGACTCATCCAGGCAGAATCAGATTGCCCTATCCCAGACTCCATTCCTGTTGTATACTTGTCCATCTCTCCCTACTCCCTGATAACAGCAGTTTCAAAGTAGGCATTTTGATCAAAAGAACATAAGTATTAAAATTTTGCTACAATTAAAAAATAAATAAAAGTAGGTATTTTGTTTTATTCTAGCTCTGTATTTTTTTCCTACTCTATATATGGCAGTCACTCATTTAAATACTAATGTACTGGGTTCTATGTTACATACTAAGCAGACATGTTTAGAGAATTTCCAGTGCTCGGTAGCCACGTGTGGCTAGTGACTGCCATATTGGATTGTGACTGCACAGTGGCACCAGTACAGAGCATTTCTACCATTACAGAAGGTTCTGTTGGATAGCCTTGTTCTAAGGTCTAGAGCAGAGGTCAGCAATTTTCTTGTGTAAAGGACCAGACAGTAAAGATTTTAGCTTTTGTGGGCCACGTTCAGTCTTCAGTCTTTGTGGCATATTCTCTTTATTTGTTGTTTTAAACAACCCTTTAAAAATGGGAAAAGTATTCTCATTTTGTTGCCCATATAAAACCAGACTACCTACAAAATCTGACTTGTGGGTCGTAGTTTGCCAGCCTTTGATCTAGGATTAGATGATTATCTAATTAACATAAATTGAGTGGATTATAGATGGTAGCCATTAGATACGTGATTTCTTATAAATTGGAGTCATAAAATCAACTCAAGTTTTATACAAAGATAATTTCTTAGCTTTTGGAAAGTCTAAGTCTGTTCTTCTCAAAAGTTCTAATTTTGATAATGCCAGTCAGAACCATTGAATTTTCTCATCTCAGTAGAAGGGAACATTCATTTTTACTCTATTTCTGAATATATTTTTCTCTTAAGAAAGTTAAAGTATAAGACTTGAAACCTCTTTCAGTTCCTTTCTGTTACATTCTGACATTTGACAGAAAATCCTTCAGAAGGCACAGATTCACTTTAATTTAGGAACTCTCTATAAATACCAAGTGGTAGATAAATGAGAGGTCTGATAGTTATTGTATCAAAGAAATAAATAATGTGGTCTCTCCTGTTTTTCTGCCTTTAGGAAACTTATTTGTTCTTTGTCAAGCTGTAAATACTCTGCTAAGTTTGGAAGAATCTTCCGAACTTCTTCGTTTGGTTCCTGTGGAACGTGTGAAGAACTTAGTATTGTGAGTAGACATACCTTCCATTCAGCTTAATGTTGAATCAAGATATAAAGGCTTCTGTGTTTGTGAAATCTTGGGTCTATTTTTTACCTGAGCTGTATTCACATAGCAAATTTATTATCGATTTAAATACTTCAGTTAAAATAAGAACATTTCAGATACAGTCTTAAGAGACGATTCATCTTTGTAAAAGGTATTGTGCTGTGCATGTAAATTTATAGTGTCACAGAGTGTAGTGGGTTAAATGTCAGTCACGACGTTGCACAGTGGTTCCAGCATATGCATTTCTGCTTCTTTCACCACCTTTCTCAGCTTTACACATTTAACAAACTCCCCTGTGGTCCTTCACTGTATACCAAACAATTCAGTTTTTGATCTCTTAAGTTTATTTTGATTTGAGTCCTAACATAGGGCCGTTACTGGGAGCCATTCAGCTTAGCACCCCTTCTAAAGATCAGGCCATTTGAAAATCTTGTAGTTTGCTTCTGTTTCCAAAGTCTAATCCAATTTATCTCCATGCTTTTAAAAATATATTTGTTCATTTACTTCATTCAATAAATAGTTACTGCTTTCCTCATATACCAGACCCTATTCTAGGCACTGGGAGAAACAGTATATGAAACATAAAATTCCATGCCTTCAAGGAGCTAACACACTAGTAAGAAGATATACTAAACAAAATAAACAACTACATAATTTAAAATATGTAGCCTGTTGGACAGTAGTAAAGTCGGGGTAGGGCGAGTCTGGAGGTTGGGAACAATAGGATTTTTAACTAGGGAAGTCCTCAGGAAGAAGGGGACATTTGAGCAGAATCACAGAAGCAGTGAGGGAGTAAGCCATGGGGGTGTCGGGACCTGGGGGCGATGTGAGCGCTGGGGCTCCCTGCAGGTGCCTGACTAGAGCCTCAGGGAGCCACTGTTCCTGAGCGGAGCTGGGGGGGGGGGGAAGAAAAGGGGAAGGGGCAGGCAGAGCTTGACCTCTGGCCATCGCAGTGCCTCGGCTTTTACTCGTGAGTGAGAGGGGAAGCCATGGGGTGGGGGTAGGGTTGATAGGGAAGTGACTCAGGCTGAAGCAGGATCACTCCAGCTGCTGTATTGAGAAGAGACTGAAGGAGGATAAAGGAGACCAGTTTGGAGACTGACTGCAATAATACAGTCGGGGCAAGGCAGCCCTGTCTCTGTTGTTAATTGAATTGCCTTAAATTCCTTTAAGGAGAGAATTCGCTCTCATCCTACTTATCATATTACATATGTTGCCCCCCCACCAGTGTTTTTTTAAAAATCATCAAACTTCTCACACTGTGTTCTTTGGAGGGAAGAATTTAAGCATCTGTGGAGGTTTTGAAACAGAAAGGCACTCATAACAGAGTGTTTGTCTGTCCCCTGCAGAAGGCCCGCTGGCCTCCCAGGCAGGTGCTCGTAGCCTTGGAGGCCTGGGAGCCTCTGACAGGAGTGGACCAGTTTGGGGGTGTTGGTGAAAGCTCTAGTGGTAAAGGTTGTAGCTGGAGGCCTCTGTGCTGGGTGTGGGCTGGTTACTGGTTAAGCCAGAGGTTTCGCAGCCAGGACTACCTAGATTTGAACCTTGTCTCTACTACTTACCAGCTCGATAGCCTTGAGTAAGTTAGTTCATCTCCACTTTATTCTCAGAAAGGAATAGCAGTATTTCCTTCCTAGAGATTGAATCAAACCGTGAGTGCAGTGATAACTACGCAAATTGTATTTATTCTGAGTACTTTCTGTATGTTAATTAATGTAGTCTTCACAACTTCCTGAACTAGAGGTACTGTTCACATTATTATAAAAGGGAGAACTAAAGCTCTCAAATAAATTCAGGGGCTCCCCTGGTAGATCAGCGATAAAGAATGTGCCTGCCAATACAGGAGACACGGGTTTGACCCCCTGATTTGGGGATGTCCCAAATGCTGTGGAGCAGCTCAGCCCATGAGCCACAGCTACTGAGCCGGTGCTCTGGAGCCTGGGAGCTGCAGTTGCTGAAGCCCGCATGCCCCAGAGCCCATCCTCCACAGGAGCAGCCACCGCAATGAGAAGCCTGCGCACCACAACTAGGGCAGGCCTCTTTTCCGCAACTAGAGAGAAGCCCGTGCAGTAGTGAAGACCCAACACGACCCAGAAAGTGTTCTTAAGTAAATCCGGAATCCTCGGTGCACAGTACCCGCTGCTGCCCCGGTGGGAACCGCTGTCTCTCATCTGATGACAACGGTAGCTTCCTGCAGGGTTCCTTGCTTCCATACTGGCCCTGCTGCTGTCCATTTTGTACCCAGCAACAGCGATTCTTTTCAGTTGAGAGAGCACATGTCACTTTTGCCAACAACCCTCTGACACTGAATTTCAGCCAGGGGTGCTTCTGGAGCCTTTTTGATTGTCACAGCTGGGGGCTGCCAGTGGAGTCTGGTGGGTGGAGGAGCGTCCTGCAGCGCACGGGACGGGCCTGCAGCGAAGTCCTTGATCCCCGTGACCGCGGAGCCGCTGCTGAGAAACCCAGCTCGCGTGGCACCCAGCTCCCGCGGGGTGACGCCCACAGTCCTCGCGTGTTCCGTGGGGCTCTGTAGTCTTAGCCCTGGCTTCTGACCTCATCGCCCGTCACGCCGCCTCCTCCAGTCCGTCCGGCTGGAGTGGCTGCCTCGATTCTGCTCACGTGGGCAGGCACACCTCTCTGGGAATTGGCATTGCTGTTCCCTGTGCCTGGAATGCTTTGCTCCAGGTGTCCTGCAGCTCCCTTCTTGACTTCCTTCCGTCTCTGCCTTCCGTGACCACCCCCACCCTCCCCCTCTCCCCCACACCAGTCTTCTCAGTCCAGCCCCTTTCCCCGATTTGTTTTTGTCCGCCATCCTCACCACTGTCGTTAATTATTTACTTGTGGGCTACGTTCTGCTATGAGAATAAGGGGCTTTTTCTGTGGTTTCCTGCTCTATCTAGGAAGTCACTGGTACATGGTAGACACTCAATAGATACTTGGAGGATAGCGCACAGTGGTTAAGTGCTTATTCGGGGTTCCTTCGCTGATGCGGATGGGCTGCCTACCCTGCCCCAGAGCTGGTGTGCCGGCCCCTGCTCTGTACCTCTTCCCTCACTGCTCAGTGCCTGGCACATGGAAAACACCCCACAAATATTACATGTCGTCTCATGTGTCATTGTCATTTATTGCTGAAAAGACAGCGTTGGACTTTAGTCACAATACAGTATTATAATCCTGTCTCTGCCTCCGCTTGGCTGTATGTCTGTCCTTGAGCGTGTCACTCACTATTGCTAAGCCTCAGATTCTTCATGTCTTAAGTGATGCTAAATGTCCACATATAACTTTTACCTGTTCTGTCTTGCATTTCTGTCATCAGTGATAATCTTCTGTGGTTTCTAGTATAGCCTGACTTCTTTGGGGTGTGTGGCACATTTGGGGTCTAATAAATATCTCGTTGCAGAACGTTTCCTTTGGAGCCGTCTGTGTTGCTGTTGGCTGATCTCTATTACCAGAGATTATCCTTATGTGGCTGCAGGGGGCCACTTTCAGAGGGGGCTTTAATGGAATTATTCCCCAAGTTACAAGCAAACATTTCAACTGGTATAGCCAAGGTACTGTGATTCTGTGGTGTATTCTCTGCCTCTCATCTTTTGTTTTTATTTGTATTGCCAGGGGTTGTCAGAGCGCCTCAATCAGAAAATGGTGCTCTGAGGTGGTTTCTGTTTAAAGCCGTGGTTCCTAAACACTGACCTACAAGCTGATTACAGCAGGATTAATTGGGGAGCTTACTAAAAATACAGATTCTGGGTCCCCACAGCCCCAGGTTCTGATTCATCAGGCATAGGGTGGAAGTAAAATATCTACATGATTTTTCAAAGACTTCTAGGTAATTCTGCTGCTCATTCAGGTGTATAGAAATACCTGAACATGTTATTTGTAAATAAGGATCACTAATTTCAGTGGAATTAGAAGTTCAGTCAGAATCTTTGCACTTATTCATAGAGATGCTTATAGTGTCATAGTTCACAGAAACAACATGGTTTTATGGTTTCGTTATCTTCTCAGTCTAGTCTGGTCATTAATTGTCCCATGGACCATTTGAGTAAGGTGTTGGTTGGTGTTAGAATATGAAATAAGAAATAGAATAAACATGTATTACTCTTGACAAGTGGTAGGTATATTGTTTATAATCCCATGAAACTTAAGTCTAGCTGTCATTTACTCTATCAGTTTCTTCTTGCGTTTCAACTTTGGAGTTTGAAACATGCCTTTTAATTTCTGTAGATTCGACTTTTGACAATAAGGATCCTAAACCACTTTGAGGTTCAGCTTCCGGAATTAATGGAGGTATTTTAACTGTTCATTTTGGATAACTTAAAAAAAATGTAATATGATATATTTTTTCCTAAAATTAATTTTGCAGAAAATTAAAATACTATGTAAATATCTATCACAAAATTTGAAGAAAAAAATGTAATTCTTTTTCCTGCCCCTTCAGTAAGGCCATTACTGAAAATCCAGTTACTTGGTGACTGTTAGACTTTTTGCACATACGTATATAATTTAGTACATACTTACATAATTTAAACAAATGGTGTCATGCGGGAATTCCCATACCAGTTCCTCCAGCCCTACCTCGTTTCTTTTGAAGCTCGAACACTGCCCCACAGTTTAAAATGTTGTATTTAACCAGCTCTCTCTCGGTGGATGCTTAGGTGGGTTATTGGTAGTTTTAATCATTTCCAATAATACTGCTGTATACATTCTTGCACAGATATCTGTACAGTAATGCAAATGACTGCTTCCAGAAGTAGAATTGTACAGTGAAAGTATATATACATTTCCTTTATTTTGACAAATGTTGCCAGTCTAGAGATTTTTTACTTTTCATGCCTGTGCTAGACCTTAAACATAAATTACTGACCAAAAAGTAAGTAGTGTGAAGAAGAAAGAATCATTTACTCCAAAAATGTGTTACTTATTTAATTTAGAACATTAATATATGCCAGTTTTTATCTTTTAGACTTCTGTGCACATTTGATGCTCTTTTTGGAAAAATAAAAGCTCTGACCTTCCTCTTGGTTTCCTGTGGTTGTTCAGGAGGATGGACTTTCGGAGCGTCAGTCTGTGTTTGCTATCCTGCGCCAGGCAGAACTCGTGCCAGCTACTGTGAACGACTACAGAGAGAAGCTTCTTCATTTGAGGAAACTCAGGCATGATGTAGTGCAGTCTGCAGTCCCTGATGGGCCATTGCAGGAGGTAAAATACTTTTTTTTTTATTATTTATACTTTAAGATCTGCCTAGCTAGCTTCTTTTTTTTATAAAAGGGAAGTATACCAAATAATCTTCAAAAGAAAAGTGGAAAGAATTTTTAAAAAAGAATTTAATTAAATTCCTAGCTCTGTTCAGTGTTTTGAGTTCAGTGACCCTGCAGCCTTTTCAATAGTAACAATAGTCTATTATCCTCCCTTCTCCTGAGTATGTGCGTAGTATGTGAGTAAAAGGGAGCTTCCCTGGTGGCTCAGGCGGTAAAGAATCCGCCTGCAATGTAGGAGACCTGGGTTCCATCCTTGGGTTGGGAGGAGCCCCTGGAGGAGGGGATGGCAACCCACTCCAGTATTCTTGCCTCGAGAATCCCCATGGACAGAGGAGCCTGGTGGGCTACAGTCCATGGGGTGTCAAAGAGTCGGACACAGCTGAGCGACTAAGTACATACAGGTGTGAGGATAAATAGTCGGTGGCCACAGGAGCAGCAAGGTCAAGTTAACAGCCACATATAAAGAATTGATGCTTTCAAATTGTGGTGCTGGAGAAGACTTGCGAGTCTCTTGGTTGGATGGCATCACCAACTCAATGGTCATGAGTTTGAGTAAACTCCAGGAGATGGTGAAGGACAGGGAAGCCTGGTGTGCTGCAATTCATGGAGCTGCAGAGAGCTGGACACAACTTAGCGACTGAATAGCAACTTACCTCCAGATTTTTTCAATGCAGCAGAACGTCCGCACTCTACCTGTTCTATGAGGCATTTTCTGTCCATGACCCTTGATGATATATCATGATCCCTTTGGGAAGAAAGCCAAATGGAGGCATTCCCATTTCTGTCAGAGCAGATCTGTTCTTGTTTTGTATGTCCTATGTTATGTTTCACTTGGAAAAGGGTTCTGCTGCAAAAGAGATACAAACACCACCCCCAAATAACAATGAAACTACTGTGTTGCATGATGCTTCCTGAGCACATGGGGATGCTGGTGACAATGGTTGTCATTCAAAAAGGGACTGAGAAGACTTTAGATCCTCTGAATTAAACTCTTGATGTATAGTCTTAAGAACTCACATATCTGCTCAAGAAGCCTCAGCTGCCACTCACAGAGTACTTTGTTGGCTTCTAAGGCACCTGTACTTTCCTGATGACTGTTACATTTTGTCTTGTCAGGTGATGGCAGTGTTTGTTAGGAGCGAGTTTAATCATGAGTCAAATCTGTTTATTCAGGTACATTCTTCCTGCATAAACATCTGGAGTGAGTTCGAATACTATGTTTGCTTTAGTGATTCTTTTCTGTTGAATAGCCAGTGACATTTTGGGGAGAGGAGGAAAATTACTGTAACTGAAATCTGAATTGGTACCTAGAAGTTTTTTTCTTAAAACACAAGCTTCCTTCCAAACCTCAGGTTGTCCTAAGTCAGGATATATGCATTTTGATGCTGATCTGAACTTGTTCTCTATGATTGCAGGTGCCACTTCGTTATTTATTAGGCATGTTGTATGTAAACTTCAGTGCTCTCTGGGATCCTGTTATTGAACTCATAAGGTAAGCCTGGGTGAAATGGATAAAACTGCTCTGCTTTCCTTACTGCAGAATTATGGAGCCAGTATTATACTCCAGCGTGTGATTTAAATGATTGGATGTGTATAGTATTTATAGTTACCTTAAAGACAAGGTAACTTGTGGGACAAGGTGAAGAAAAGATAAACATTAATTATTCTATCTGATACCAGATTTTTGACAAGTCAAGTGTTTTATATATGTTTCTCTGTGCTTTGAAATCACTTTGAGGAACTTTCTCTTTTTCCTTTATGTTGCATGTCTGTATTATTGAATTTTTTTATAGTAACAGTAAAATTATAATAATAAAAAAGATTATAATAATTACATAATTTTATTTATATATATTAAATCATTGAGCCAAACTTTAATTTAAAAATAAGGACTTCTTAAAACCTTCACTATCTAGTATCCAAAACCCTTTAATTCCAAAAAGGACTGTCATAATCACATGAAAAATGCATATTTTGTTTTGTAGAAATCTATTCTTTTGTAGGCATTTGTCTTCAGGTGGTCTACTCTGAATTATTGTCAGATTGGAAATATTATGTGTGCCCTCTCAAAACCCTATTAGTTCTAAATAGAGCAAGCATTTTGAAAATTAAGAAGTACAAAAGTTGCTTATGACCCACATTCAGGGATAACTTAATATTTTAATTATATCCTTTTTTACTTTTTTTTAGAATTGCAGAATGACACAAGAGATGAGGAGAAGTCTATTGGAGATGCAAATTGGGAGCAGACTCAGGAAGGAAATGTTGGAGCTCTTTATCACAAGCAGTTGACATTGAAAACTGACCTTCAGGAAAGACTGGACCACACCAATTTTCGTTTTTTGCTCTGGCGCGCTCTGGCGAAGTTCCCGGAAAGGGTGGAGCCACGGTCCAGGGAACTTTCCCCTCTTTTCTTGAGATTTATCGAGTAAGTGTTCTTTCCTAGGAATGTGTCCCTAGTAGGGTGTGAGGAAGAGAAGGTACAAAGTGAAATTCCCAGATTGTCTGAGTTCTTACGTCTGTCATCTTTTCAAATCACTAGCCTATCTCTAAAGCACTGGCTCTGTGGGTAACAAATAAACTAGTTTTGTTCACTTGTTCTTACATGAATCAAAATCTAACCAGCTCATAAATGGTGTTAATAAAAAATTCCAGGTTGCAAAGTAAGAAAGGCCATACTGACTTAGATCAGTGCACAATGGCCTTGTGATTTCTGGCCCTATTGTTCGTTGTTTTCTGCCTGCCTTGGGCTTAAAGGTACTTTCAGGTCACTCAACCCCAGCCACTCTTGTTTTGAACTCTTGAATGTTTCTCATGATGCTGAGGAATGTGCTCTCAAAGAATAGCAAGAACTTCCTGGAGCACTGTTTTACTTTGACTAGATATGCTCTGTGAGAGTCAGATTGCTTTAAAACGCTAAAGATAAGGGATGCGGAATATAGAACAGTACTAGTCAGTCAAAGGTGAATTTTCCGTTATCCTTTTGTTACATGGGAAAATGGTGTAGAGTTGGGTTAGGCAGGCCACAGACCACAGCCTGCCAGCCTTTTCAAGGAACAGCAGGGTGATCCAGGAAGAAAGTAGTTGGAGGTGAGAGCAAAAAATTTAACAGGAGAATGAATTTGTGTAGGGGCTTTGAAGTGACAGTCAAGACTTTGGTTTTTATTGTCAGTGAAATAGAAAACCTCTGGGAAGGTTAAACAAGGATTACACAACTAAAGTTTTCTCTAGAATTTTTCTGGCTTCTGTTTTGAGAATGGACTGTGGGACAGAAGTGAGAGAGCAGAGGGACTGGGGAGGAGAGTTGGGAGGAGATGGCAAAAATCTGTGTAAGAAATGATGGTGGCTTGACCATAGTTGGAGTAATGCAGACGGTGAGAAGTAGTTGAATTCTGGACACTTCTCAGGTTTCAATCTTAAAAGACGTTTTTGAAGAATTGCGACCAGATTAACCTGAGGCGCTTGCTAACATTACATGTAGGATGGAGGTTGTGAGTGGTGGGGGGTATGCAGGAAGGAAAAAAGGGAGAAATTAAGGATATCTATAAGGGTTTTTTTGGGCCTGAGCAACTGGAAGAAGAAAGTTAACCATTGACTGAGATTGGAAGAAATACAGAAGTTTGCCGATTTGTGGGGAAGATCAAGAGTTGTTTTGTTCTGTTTTTTTAAAAGACATACTAAATTTGGGATACTAAACAGACATCTAAGTTGAGATTTCAAGTTGAGTGTGGAGTTTAAAGTTCAAAGGAAAGATTTGGTTTTAAGATAATAAATTTGAGACTCATCAGTATATGGGTGGGTTTTAAGGGGAAGACCCTGCTAGCTAAGAATACAGCATTGACATGGTAGTGTCTCAACCCTCCAGGTGTGGTATAGTGTGTTAACCTGTAGTATATTTTTTTTAAGGTGTGTCTGTAGGATGCTATCCTCAAACATGTGTCAGTATATTTTTGAGTGAGGACTTTAAAGTCAGTCTGATCAGTTTCCTCACATCTATAACCCAGCATCATGCACAGAATAGACAACACAGTAATTGATGAATGAACCAAAGTGACCCAAAAGTAATGCACTGAGCAATAGCCTTCAAGGTAGTATTAGTTACCTACAACAGTGGACCAAAATTTAAGGGATGGAATTCAATAAGAACCCATATGAATACCAAGTGCACAAGCTTAGAGGAGCCAAAACGTGAAGCATTACTCATTTTCATTGCCTGGACATTCTATTCGAGTCTGTGTCATATTGTGACTTCCCTCAAAAGCAACAGAATTGATAGTCCCCCCCGTCTTACCAGGCCATACCTGGAGGACTGGAATTTGTTGTGACATTTCTTTTTGAAAGGACATCCTCAAAACAATGTATCTGGGATACACATACAGCGTGGTCTAAATACTGTAATGTAATCTGCCCCTACGCACTCCTCCCTGAGTTGTGGTTCCAGAGACAGGGAACCACAACTGAATTGTCCAGAGACAATTTCAGCTTAGTCCAAAATAGACATTTCAGTTATTCTCAACAGTGTAGCAATGAAGCGGGCTCTCTTCTGCAATTAGTGATGGACTTGTCAAATAAGGTCCTTAAGAGAGGCTGACTTTAAATGTTGTAGAAGACCTCTACTAAGGGGCCTCTGGCGTCTCTTCTGTGTGTGAGTCTAAGAACTGGGGGCACACATCTCTCACGAGCATTTAGGATATCTGTCTCATATCACTCTCTTTCCACTGTAGCAATGAGTATTACCCAGCAGATCTGCAGGTTGCACCAACCCAGGATCTGCGAAGAAAAGGCAGAGGGCTGGGGGTGGAGGAAGCAGAAGAGGAAACTGCCGCCAGAGATGACGAAGAGTTGGAGGAAGAGCTGGGGCCCCAGGAGGAACCCTCACAGAAGAAAAAGACAAGAAGAGCTGCGGCAAAGTAGGTTGAGCATTGCTGAAAGATCACGGGTCCAGGGCTCCGGGCAGGCAGGAGGAGACCTTGTGTGACCGCCTGTGACGTAGCCAGGAATGGGATGAAATTGCTCAGATAATTATTTACCAAACTGCTGCATCTTCCCAGGATTTTCTTTTACAGCCTAAAGAAAACTGCCAGTGTTCTGAGTTTTTTTTCTTTGCTTGCTTATTTTTTATTTTTTCTTGTTTAGCTGCAGTGTGTTAGAGTTGAGGGACTTTGGAATCATCTGCTCATAGCACCTTTTTATAGATGAGAGCCCTGGGGCCTGTAGCAGTTAAATGGCCTTGACCTTTGCCATTCACTTTCATAGCACTGGGACAGTATGTTTGTGTGCTCAGGGAACACAGAATGGAACGTCTTTTCTCTTACAAATAAGGGCGTCAGCTCTCTCAACTTTGTCTTTTGACTTCTGTCTTGATTACTTTTGGCTTTCTTCGCTTTTTCATGCTGTTATATTCTCTTTCTGGCTCTCTGGATTATTCCTTTACCGAAACTGTTAGAAATCTTAGAAAAAAGAAGGGACTGTGCTTTCAGCTTCCTTAAAGATTGTCTGAGTTGAGGCGTCAGGGATCCACCAGACGGTGCTGCTGTGTGACTGTAACACTGCATCTCAATCCCACGTGCCCACTTGTTGAGACTGTCCCGTGAGTCGTTTATTAGCCCATCGTTCAGCAGCTGGATTGAGGTTCTTCTGCTAAGTGCAGAGCCACAGGGATGAACGGTCTTCAGCCTCTGCAGAGCTGGAAGCAGTCTCATGCCTGGTGAAATATTTTAATAGAAGTATTTTTAAAGAAGTTACAGGAGCACAGTAAAAAATAATAATAATAATAATTCTACCACAAAGGGAAGACTTTTACAAAGAGGAGATCACCTTTGAAGCTGAAAAATAAGTGTACCAGGCCCAGCAGGACTTGCTGGCTGATGGAGATAGTGTATGAAGCACAGGCGAGAAGGATCACGGCCCAGCCTCTGCTCCTACCTGTCGCCTACTGCTTCCCTTAAGAAGGAGATTGCTGTGTTTGTCTTTGTATGCTTCAGCATAACAGCTGACCAAGGGTTTGTCCTAATGTTTGTTTGCTGAGTGAATGAATAGGCTACTCGGGCACTCATGCATCTTTTGTCTCATCCGTGGACTTCTGCTGTAGCATTCTTTTCGCAGTGCCTTTGCCTCATTGCTGCCAAGGGAAATTCTAGTCATAACTTTGAGGCCCAGTTCTCACATTGCCTCTTCAATGAAACTCTTCCTGTCTTTTAAACTGGAATTTATCTAATTATCTACCCACCTTCAAACTTTGATCACAGCTCCTCTGATCAGATGCAGTTCCTTGCCTTGGATATTAATTTTTTAAAATAAATCTTCCATGTAAATTTAAAGCTCTTTAAAGATAAGTTCCATGTCTTGATTAATTTCCCTGCCCCCTGTAGCCAAACCTAGAATGTTGCTAGCATTCACCATCATTGCACGTGTAAGTAAATGGATAATCACATTCTTCTGGGTGCCATCTCAGTATATTCATAGTCCAATTTTATTAACCCATGGAACACACCCCTCACTGGTAGGTATTTAATGGGAACCTGTAAATTAACTTCTGTTTGACTCTTGAAAGCTACATGGCACATAAAAAATACTTAGTAAATGTTGAGGGAAGGAATATATGTTTCAGTAGATTAAATTGTGTTTTGTAAAACTGCAAAGGCTCAGTGATAAGTAATTCCAGGGACATTGTATCAGTCAGAGCTTACCAGAGAATTTGTTGGCCAGGCTGGAAACGGGCGGGATTTGATGCTGTAGTATTAAACGTGAAATTCATAGGGTAGGATTTCTATGTGACAGCCTTATGGCAGAATTCCTTTTCTGGGAAACATCAGTTTTTATTCTTCCAGCTTTCAGTTGACTCGATGAGGCCTACCCACATTATTAAGGGTCATCTCCTTTATTTAAAGTCCACTGGTTGTGGATGTTAACCACATGTATAAAAATATTTTCATCACAACACCTAAATTAGTGTTTTGTTATATAACTGGGACCTTAACTTAGATTGACACATAAGACTAATCATCACAGGCATTTAGGCTAAATATAATAATAGTGCTTCCCTTACCCCTGTTTTTCTACAGTGTCTAAAGAGGTCATAATTTCCAGCTGTTTTTCTCTATATTAACTAGTAAGACTTTCAGTTTTGCTTTTTTTGTTTTTTTTTTGCCTAAGAACAAAGAAATGTGCTGTTCACTAAGCTCTTAGGAACTGAAGTGCCACAGCGTGTTTTCTTTGACTCAGTCCTGCAGAAAAGCTGGAAGTCTTGCTCTTTGCTGAGATGAGGAATGAGTCACTGAAACATTCTGTGGCTCTCCCCAGAGTCAGCAGCTCAGAATGGTAGAACCATGCATGCGGCTTGGGTTCCACTCTTCACTTCTCCCCGCTTAGGCTCTTGAAAGAGGCAAATGATATCTCTCCGGATCTTAATTTATTCATTCAGAGTTTTTTAGGTTTTCTTTAAGTTTTAAGACCTCTTTTAAATTATACAGAGAGAAAACAGTTTTCTCAAGTGTTTTTAAAGCTTCACAGAGTCTTAAGTATTAGGAAGTTGAACATGTAAATGCAGTAGAAGCGCTCTGCTTATTCTGTTCTGATGGTACCATTTATTTGAAGGCAACCCCATCTTCAAATTTAAATTCCAACCACAGAACATTGTTCTGTTTTTCTATTTCTTGGTAAGCAAGAGCCATGGTTATCCAAACTTGAACCTCTGCTGCCTGACATCAATTTTTATGTTATATGAAAGTGAGGAAGTATAGTATGTTCCACTTTCCTGTCTACTGCATAAAAACTAGACAGAAAAAAAAGGACCATTCCAAAAATCATCTGTGTTCAATTTTGGAATATGTTAAAGTGTTTTGATTAATTTCTTTCTATATTTGGCTTCATTTAAACCATTCTAAGCACATCCTGAATGATTTTCTGAGGTTGGGAGCCTGAATTTCAGGGAAAGGCCTGCCTGAGATTTGGAATTTCTGGAGAATGATTTCCTAAATTCAGGTAGTTAAAACTTGCTAGTGTAATTAACAGTGAAACTGTATTTGAGATGTTTAGAGTACTTGTCAGAGAAAACTGGTAGATACTATCATCTTAAGAATATAATGTCTGTTTTTATTTCTGGTTTTTCTTTTTTATTTTTATTTCTGGTTTTTCTTTTTTCTGTTTTTCTCTCTGTATATTTTGTTTGTTTGTTTTTTGCATTTTAGGCAGTTAATTGCTCATTTGCAAGTTTTCTCTAAGTTTTCAAATCCACGAGCCTTATATCTGGAATCCAAATTATATGAGCTGTATCTTCAGGTAAGTAAAATTAATTCTTGTCACTGTAGTTAGTTGTGGACTTTTCTCTACCATTTTCTTTACCCAAGTAACTTGTAGGTTTTCAGTAATTGTTGACTAGGGCTGATTTCTATATTTTAAATATATATTTTTTAACTAACAGATACTGTCTATACCTTGAGGAACAGTTTTAGACAGTACTGATTTAGTGGATTTTAAAGAAATTGAGGGTGACTAAACATTGATTGGCTGTGTTAACAGTGGGTGTAGCAAAGTGTTGGTTGTCTCATGAGAACTGGGTTTTAGAAGGGAGTAGGGGTTTGTGCCAAGAGAGCTGCTGCTTTTCACTGCTAGGCGAGTTAGCCTTCTGGAGCCCTAGCGTTTCAGGATCTGGTAGACTGGATGAAAGTAGGTGCAGCAGTAGTCCATTGCAGTTATAGTATATGACCTTGAATTCCAGAGAAGGTTGCAGGAGGAAAAAACTGATGTGAGAAGCAGAGTAAGCATGGATGTCATTCTAAGCCATCTGGGAAAATAAGGTTTTCTCTTTTCACTTGGAGGTTTTTTAAATGTAACACTATTTTGGCAGAATTTATCCTTATTTTGTCTGTAATTCAGATATAACTTGTTTATAGAATCAGAAATCCAAACTCTCAGTTGTCGACAGGAAGCAAAAATCTGGACTGATCAGAGAGGCCTCAGAGCTGGGTCTTTCCTGGCATCTTACTAACTGTGGTTACCAGCAAAGAGCTTTCCCTCATTACAGGACCAATCCAGTTGGTGTCAACCTGAAGTCGTGTAGGGAACTGGCCTTGGCCAAAAGACAGACCTGAGAGTCTTGGCATGTGGGACGCAGGTGTCAGAGTTGTGTTTTTGTTTTGTTCTCTGCATACATTCTGTTCATCTTCCGTTACCTCCAAGACAATGTAAAGCTATTGTCATGAATCATCTTTAGCCCACATCTAAAAATTTAGATTCTAAGAATTTTAATTTAGCAAATTAGTAAAAGTAAATTACTGTCTGATGGCATGTGTATATCTGACTTCATTAATTTATTTTATAAAATATCATTCCTAGTTGTTGCTACATCAGGATCAGATGGTACAAAAAATAACACTGGATTGCATAATGACATATAAACATCCACATATTCTCCCTTACAGGTAAGTTATTTGAAGCTAAAGAAATGCTGTTTAGGGGGCTATTTTTACTCTTTTTACCAGAGAGCCTCTTATAAAGTAATTTTTTAAAGGCCCCAGGAAATTACCCTCTTTTCTAAGGTAATCATAGTGCTATTTTCAGGTAAGAAATGAAAACTAGAAGTATGTTTGTTAAGAGTGCTTCTTCATAGATAATAAGGTAGGAGAGAGAATATTGATTGAAAAATATGTGTTGAGAAGGTTATGTCATTTCTTCTTGCTCATATAATGGCATTAAAATCTTGGTGATTACTTAAGGAATCATCATAATTACACTCCAAGAACTGAAGAAAGCTTTCATATTATGCTTTTTTAAACAGCTGCATTATTGACTAACCCCTTATGATCCCTCTTGGGCTTCCTTTGTGGCTTGGCTGGTAAAGAACCCGCTGCAGTGCAGGAGACCTGGGTTTGATCCTTCGGTTGGGAAGCTCCCCTGGAGAAGGGAAAGGCTTCCCACTCCAGTATTCTGGCCCAGAGAATTCCAGGGACCATACAGTCTTTGGGGTCATAACGAGTCAGACACGACTGAGCCACTTTCACTTTCACTATGATCCCTCTTACCTTTTAAAATTTGAAACTTGCCATTTTGGAAGGTATTTGTGTAAAGACTTTCTTTTATGGATGTCAGCTACAATATAAAATATTCTTAATGCCTATTTCTTTTATGTATATATTTATCACTCTATTAATTATATTTTTAAAAAGTATTTTTGATTAAGTGATGATTTGTGCTAAATTCCATTTTTAAAGGGAAAACCTACAAAGACTGCTTGAAGACAGAAACTTTAAGGAAGAGATAGTACATTTTAGCATTTCTGAAGATAATACAGTGGTGAAAGCAGCCCACCGAGTAGAACTGTTTCCTATTCTGATGAGGTAATTTATACTCTTTCAAAACTGGTATTTTAAAGATTGATCACAAAAACAGTTGTGAATATAGTATTATGATTCTTTCAGCAATTGTAATGGAATATTTCATCTTGAATTTTATTTATTTTTATAATTGGTTCTTTTGGGAAAGTCAAATTGTTATAGAGACTTATTTTAAATATTTTGTCCCTAATATGAGGAAAGATCTTGATATTGTGTTATTTTAAAAGTGCTATTAAAATTAAATCCAGTATTTCTCTAAGGTTTAAGCCATTAAGAAATAGTAAAAATAATGCATTTGTTTGATAGGTAACGAATTATGAGATATAAAAACTAACCATCCATGTATAAAACTTTATTATAGTTTTTATAGTTTTCATTGTATTTTTCTGGGTCAAAAAATAATTGTAAATAACAGTCATCAGTCAGCTTGTTAGTCCCTGTTTAAAAACCTTTTGAGGTCCCATTTTACTGAGAACAACAAATGGAGTCCTTACTACTCCTTTAAGGGCCTGGTATGACCTAGCCTAGACCTGCTTCTCTAACATCTCTTTGATTTACCACCCCTCTCAGAACCCATACCACAATCTTTCATCACAGTACTTAATCATCCAACATGGCCTCTTATTATCCATCTTCTCTACCAGAAGACAAACTCCATGCCTCTTAGTCAGTAGTGATCAGATGGAGTTTGTCTTCCCTTTTCTGATATAAATACCCCCTTCACTGTTTTGTTGTTGGATCTACGTATTCCCTACAGAGCCTCGATGAATTAATTGAAGTGGTGGTAGTTGTGGTTATCCTTGTGTTGCTGCTGTATTTAACAGTAATGTTTCTAGAACAGTTGTTCTTGTCTTAAAGTGTGGTCTGCTCCTTCTTGGTGGGGGCTGTCCCAGAGATGCTTTTAGGACATCCACGTGGTTAAAACTTTCTTCATAAAGATGTTACCTTTTCTCGTTGTGCTCCTGACTTTGCTGACCAGACAAAAGCAGTGATGTATAAAACTCCGGGTGCTTAATGAATCAGGACAGTGGCTCCAAACTGTGCTGGTCATTCTTCATTCCCACAGGCCTAGAGTTTAAAAAAAAAATAAACAAAAGCTGGTTTCACTCACTGCCCTTATTGACTCTTGAGCCTTGAGGACTTGTCTTTATTATTCTGTATGAATTGAGAGGTATGCATAAAACACTCCTTCAGCTCACTAGTTTCCATGGAGTTTTTTTTCGGGTTTTCCAAGTAACTGATGCATATTACAGAATCATTCGTGGGTAAAGATCTGTTCATAGTGCAGAGTAGACAGATGGGCTTTACTGCAACAGAGCTTACAGAGTGCACTGATGATGGCTTTAGATGCCACGCTGCAGCTGGCCTTTGAGAGACTTCCTCTGCTTGAGCTTTGCTGTAGAATCAAAGAGGAATGTTCACAATTATCTGAGAAGAATTATCTGAGAGTTTACAAAATATGTTTCCCTTCTCCAGTTGCATATCTGTGTAAGGCTGGGTTTTCTTCAACCACAGTATATTGCAACAGACTGAATGTAGAAGCAGATATGAGGATTCATTTATCTTCTAATAAGCCAGGCAATAAAGAAATTTGGAGCAGAAAAAAAAGTACAATAATGCCTCTGATCTCTCTAATTTGGGGAGGGACAGGTTTGGAAAAAACAATTTTTATTAAAAATGTTAGTTATGCTAACTTATTTTAACTTGTACTATGATAAATACTAATAGATAGAAGACATATGTACAAAAGCTCTTCAGTAATTTTTAAGACTAAAAAGGGATCCTAATATCAAAAAGTTTGAAAACCATTGTGTTTAAATTTTGAAAGTTAAGTCACTAGTTCTATCATGCTAAGAAGGTAGCTTTTATTACTATGTTATTTAGTTTTTTTACTAAATGGATGTTGAATTTTATTAGAATGACTATTGACATGTATTTAAATGATCATATTAACTTTTTTCTATGAGCCATTGACCTGTATCAATAGATTTTACTGGTGATTCTTTGCATTCCTGGAATAATCCTTATTCAGCTCTAACACCGTTTTAATGCAGCACTGGGTACTGTTTTCAGAAATGTTGTGGACTTCCCCTGCCCCCCGTTGTGTATTTTTATTATTGAAGTATTTACAGTGTTGTGTTACTTTCAAGTGTACAGCAAAGTGATTGTTATCTGTATGTATTCAGATTATTTTACATTTTAGGTTATTGTGAGATACTGAATATAGTTGTTCCCTGTGCTATACAGTAGATCCTTACTGCTTATCTATTTTAAGCATAATAGTTTGTATCTGTTAATCCCATACTTCTAATTTATCCCTTTCCCCATCTTTTTCCCCTTTGGTAATCATAGTTTGTTTTCCATGCCTGTGAGTCAGTTTTTGTATATAGATTCATTTGTATTATTTTTTAGATTCCACATATAATTGATATCATATAGTATTTGTCTTTGACTTCACTTTAGTGTGATAATCTCTAGATCCATCCCTTTAAAAGGACTATTTCCTTCTTCCTGCTGTGGAACTATATCATGGGGATTGTTTTTCCTTTCAAGTTTTAACAATTCATCTTAAAACTGTGTTGACTCCAAGTTTACTCGTGGTTACTGATCTCTTCAGGTTTGGTTAGGTTCCTTTTGACTATTTATAGATGTCAGTTTTTTCCAGAAGATTACCCATTTCATTGAAATCTTTCCAGTTTCCTTGTTTTACTTACAGTTGTACTCTCTTATTTTACTTCCTTCTAATCTATATATTCCTGTTTTCATTTTTCCTTGTTGAGACTTAGCTCTGGCTTGCCTGTTGTATTTATTTTTTTCTCTCCTCCAAAGAACCAGCTTCCAATCATTGTCTTTATCATTTTCTTCTTCCTCCTTCCCTTTGCCTTATTTGTTGTTACTTTTAAATCTCCATGTTAAAAATTTAATTTTTATTTCATTCTTCCCTGTTTTAGAATACATTCATTTAAATCTGTTGAGCTGCTATTCCAGCCTCCTAGAAAAACAAAACAACTCTGTTTTAGGATTAATGTGCAAACAAATAACCTTCTTTGGACATTGTAGAATTTTGTATGGTCGAGTGAAGAATAAGACTGGAAGTAAAACTCAGGGGAAATCTGCTTCTGGTACCCGCATGTCCATCGTCCTGAGGTTCCTGGCTGGGAGCCGGCCAGAAGAGATGGAGATATTCTTAGACCTGCTCTTCGAGCCCGTGAAGCGCTTCAGGAACGGTAGGTACCAGCCGCCTGCTGCGCTCTGAATGCGCGTTCTCTGCCCAGCCCTCTGCTGTCTCAGGCTGCTCCCCGCGCTCTGTGCATCCTTCTCAGGGGCGTGGTTGCTCCTCCCAGTCTCAGTGGTGGTCCTTTTGCTGACATGCTGACATTTACATTTGATTGAATTAGGTGGACCTCACAAATGATCTTGGCGTTATCATCAGCCTTGTGCTAATAATTAGCCCCTGGTTAGAAAACGTGTTTTCTGCTTCTGTGGTACATTTTGGCCATTTGAAAAGTGGTGCCAAGTTAGAGCCTATGCCAAGTGCTTAGTCGCTCAGTCGTGTTCGACTCTGCGACCCTATCGACTGTAGCCCGCCAGGCGCCTCTCTCCCTGGGAATTCTCCAGGCACAGATACTGGAGTGGGTAGCCTTTCCGTTCTCCGGAGGATCTTCCCAACCCAGGGATGGAACCCAAGTCTCCCACATTGCAAGCGTGTTCTTGACCATCTGAGCCACCAGGGAAGCCCTTGAAAGGTGGTGCTTCTCCATATACGATGAAGTCCTCAGAAACTCAAAGCATGCTGCAAAATGAATCTTAATTGTCCTGGCATGTATTCTTCCAGAGTCATTCACCTACTAAATAATGATTTGTCAAATACCTCCTGTGCCATGGACACTGTTGAAAATAGAAAACTGAGCATTTATAACCTCTGCTCTTAACCTCACAGTCTAAACAAAGTGGATTAGTAACTGTATACAATGTGATGTTCTGTCATATGTTCTCCAGTATGCAAGGTTAGCAATTAAAAGTAATAATGGCTAACATTTATTGAGCATCTACTTCGTGCCAGAATTAATGACAGGCTCCTTTACCTACAACTCAGTCGACCCTTAAAACAGCCACTTTAGGGTTCAGTATTTATTTGTTGCCATTTTACAAGTAGGAAACAGGCTTAGAGAGATAAGTACTTTGCCCTGGGATTTGAATCCAGATGAAGCTAGGATTCAAACCCAGATCTTCCTGACTACAGTACCTCTGTTCCAGTTTTATAATTGCTTTGCTTTAGGCAAACACAGATTTATTTGTAGGGTAATGTGTGGCTTTTTGTTTTTGTTTTTTAATAATAGGTGTAGCTATTTAAAAGTTTTCGTTCAGTATAATATTGCCCTGTGAAGAATGTTGGCTGTTAACGAATAGTTTTTGTTCAGTGCAATGGCCTCTGTTGTAAGAGGGTAGCTATAAATGATACCCTTACAGATAAACCACTTAGGTGTATGAATCAGCAAGCTCATGATCTCATACCAGTTGGTCTGAAGTAAAGCTCAAGCAATAGCTATTCAAGTCATGTAAGTAAATTATGAAATCAGTTTGGCACCCGTTTATAAAGGACTATTGTTTTATTTATTTGCAAGCAGCTGCAAGAGAAATAAAACATTTGATTCTCAGCCTTAAAAGAGCTTATTCACATAGCAAGGTATTTTCTTTGAAACTGCTGAAATTAGCATAGTCCATGAAAGCTCAGAGGGAAAAATGTGGGAAGTTGATAGACAGAATATTGATAAAGTGGAATTCCTCCGGTTTTGAGGAATTGTATAAATAGGGGTAGAATTGGGCTTAGAGACTTAGTTCTTTCACAGATTTCTTACTCTCTCCTATTCCTCAGTTTCCTCATCTATAAAGTGATAATAGTAAAACCTACTATATCTAGCTCATTTAATGTTTGGTAAGAATCAAAAGCAGAAAAAAATAAGTAAAGTATATTATCATCTGTAAATTATAACAGTAGAAAATGCTGTATTATTGGGAGAAATTGAAAGGAAGCTATAATTGTAAATAGGAGCGAGCTCATATTTCACTGCACGTGCTGTCTCTGCTCCTCTGTGTTTCACCAGGAGAGTGCCATTCCGCCGTCATTCAAGCAGTAGAAGATTTAGATTTGTCTAAAGTTCTTCCTTTGGGTCGTCAGCACGGCATATTAAATAGCCTTGAGATAGTCTTGAAGAACATCAGTCACCTGATCAGCGCATATTTACCCAAGATTCTGCAGCTGCTGCTCTGCATGACTGCAACGGTGTCACACATCCTTGACCAGCGAGCAGAGGTGAGGGGAGGCACTTTAAACTTCGGCGCTCTTCGTGGGCACATAGGACTTCCTTGGTAGCTCAGCCGGTAAAGAATCTGTCTGCATCCAGGAGATCCCGGTTTGATCCCTGGGTCTGGAAGAGCCGCTGGAGAAGGGAACGGCTACCCACTCCAGTGCTCTTGCCTGGAGAATTCCATGGACAGAGGGGCCTGGCAGGCTCCAGCCCACAGGGTCGCAGAGTCGGACACGGCCGCGCGACTTCTGTCGCTTTCTTCTGGGGCTCATACAGGTCGGTGTTTTACTTGGGAAGTTGGCTGGAGCCTGAGTAGCTCACATCATTCTAGGCTAAATCCTATGTAAGGTGTCTCTCTAAAATGACCTTTCCTGTTAATGGGAATCTTCACTGTTATAAGTACTTATGAATAGCTAGAAAATGCAGATTATATCAAGTGTCTATTTAAAAAGGAGGTGAAACGGTAGGGAGGCATTTAGTTCTGTCTATCTCTCAGAGACCAAAGTCTGGGATAGTTGAACTGATTTTTAATTTCAGAAGCCTGAAAGTCTGAGAGATGTTTTCTAGCTCTCATTTATTCAGAGTGTTTGGAGAATGAAAAGAACGCTGTTGGCATTGTCCTTGTTGAGGCAGAGTTGCCCAGAGCTCTCGTAAAAGTAAATGCTTACCGACTCTAAATGGAGGGTTTTAAGTGAAGGGAAGTAGCAAGATTGGGCATGACAAGCCAAATAGCTAACTGCCTGGAGGCTTCATGAGGTGGTGCCTAGGAGATGTTTTCTGAATGATTTTGAAGATGATATATTTATGTTCTGTTGAAACAAGTGTGTGAACATAAGTTTACTCTGTGGAATTTATGGAACTTAAAATGTTTTTATGGACTGAAGACTTCTTGAAGGAGATAGGACTTGAAGTGAAAATCCACACTCAGATTTCTGCTATTGATTTTTACCTCAGATTTCTGCTGTTGTTGTTAATGACAAATAGGCACAATTTTAATTTGGCTAAAACTCATTTGTTTTATTGATGTGCCTGGTGAACTGCCTCTGAGATACAGCCAGAATTTTACGCTGCCTTATTCATTGAGCCCCTACTGTGTGTCAGACACTGTACTAAGCACTGGGGTGAGGATCAAACAAAACTTCCTGCCCATTTAATTATTTTGTAAATACTTACTTCACACCTGCTATCTGCCAGACAGCATTGTAGGTGGGAAATGAAATGGTAAGGACTCAGTATCTTGGGGAGACTATAGATAAATAGCCAAATGATCAGAAGAACATCAGTCGGTAAGTTCTAAGAGGAAGATAAACTCAGGAGGTCCCTCTGCAGATGTCTATAAGTCATTCTCTGTGTCCCTGGTTTCTCTCCAGGCCTCTGTTTGTGACTTCTAGCCACCTTGGCCTCCCCAAGCTGCACAATTGTCCCCTCATTTTAGGAGGATTGTCACACTCTTCCTGGGCACTTCCTTCCCATACCAAGGTCTGAAAGTCTGCAGGCAGGAAGCCAAGGAATATGTAGGATTCATCTCCACTGTTTCTCCTCTCTTGGGGATGACTGTCCTCTGTTGCCTGCTGTCCAGTGTCCAAAAAGTCATTGTTTCATATATTCTTCAGTGTCTTGAGAGGGGAGGCTAAATCTTGTCCCTGTTATTTCATCATGTCTAGAAGCAATAAAACCACCTGAAGGGAGCAGGCAGAGCAGCCCTGCAGCTAACACAGGGCTGGGAGTAGCTCATGTTTCCCTACAGCCAGAGCAGAAACCTCATGAGGTGTGGCATCTAGGAGTGTCCTTGGAAGGGGATTGTCTCTGTAGTGGAGCCAGATTAGCCCAGGCATAAAGGCTCCACCTAACAGAGCCTAAAAAGATCAAACTTTTCCTGAGTAAATCAGCTGCATCCCAGAATAAAGCTCAAAACCTCTTGGGTGATTTAAATGAAATTAGATTTCACAGTGTCTGACAGTCAGGTATTAACCAGGCAAGAGGAGGATTTTACCTGTAATGAAAAAAACAAAAACAATGGATAGAATCAGGCCCAGAAACGACACAGGTGATAGAATTAGACAAGGACGTTAAGACAACTGTTAGAAATACGGGCCATACATTCACAAAAGTAGAGGAAAGCATGAGTGTGTTAGGGAAAGACTTGAAGATGTAAAGAATTTAAAATAAAATGAGGGACTGTGGTAGGAAGTGACCAAACTAGAGGTAGATGGGTGCTGCTTTTAGTAGAGTGTTCAGGGTCACCTCTCAAGAGCTGATACTTGAGCTTACACCTACCCAGCCACTGGAAGAACATTTCAGGCAGAGAAAATGACTAGTAGCACAAAGTCCTGGAGTGAAACAGTATTGACATCCCAGGAAGAAACAGAATTTTAGTTTTTGTCTTATGAGTGACAGTGACTGCCTATACATGGACATTTTAAATCATGAAAGTCCTCTAACTTTTTGGTTAACTTGGAAGATGTTACTCAGTAATGTAGCCTTACTCCTGAGTCAACAATCAGTAATTCAAAGGATCATTTATACAATTTCACAGTTCATTAGACAGTGAGGTGCTCGCCTTCCTGACAGATAAGAACCTTCTTTACTTCTTTCTTGTTAATTCTTGGACAAGTCCAAGGAATAATAGCCAAATGATCAGAAGAACATCAGTCGGTAAGTTCTAAGAGGAAGATAAACTCAGGAGGTCCCTCTGCAGATGTCTATAAGTCATTCTCTGTGTCCCTGGTTTCTCTCCAGGCCTCTGTTTGTGACTTCTAGCCACCTTGGCCTCCCCAAGCTGCACAATTGTCCCCTCATTTTAGGAGGATTGTCACACTCTTCCTGGGCACTTCCTTCCCATACCAAGGTCTGAAAGTCTGCAGGCAGGAAGCCAAGGAATATGTAGGATTCATCTCCACTGTTTCTCCTCTCTTGGGGATGACTGTCCTCTGTTGCCTGCTGTCCAGTGTCCAAAAAGTCATTGTTTCATATATTCTTCAGTGTCTTGAGAGGGGAGGCTAAATCTTGTCCCTGTTATTTCATCATGTCTAGAAGCAATAAAACCACCTGAAGGGAGCAGGCAGAGCAGCCCTGCAGCTAACACAGGGCTGGGAGTAGCTCATGTTTCCCTACAGCCAGAGCAGAAACCTCATGAGGTGTGGCATCTAGGAGTGTCCTTGGAAGGGGATTGTCTCTGTAGTGGAGCCAGATTAGCCCAGGCATAAAGGCTCCACCTAACAGAGCCTAAAAAGATCAAACTTTTCCTGAGTAAATCAGCTGCATCCCAGAATAAAGCTCAAAACCTCTTGGGTGATTTAAATGAAATTAGATTTCACAGTGTCTGACAGTCAGGTATTAACCAGGCAAGAGGAGGATTTTGCATGTAATGAAAAAAAAAAAAAAAAAAACCAATGGATAGAATCAGGCCCAGAAATGACACAGGTGATAGAATTAGACAAGGACATTAAGACAACTGTTAGAAATACGGGCCATACATTCACAAAAGTAGAGGAAAGCATGAGTGTGTTAGGGAAAGATATGAAGATGTAAAGAATTTAAAATAAAATGAAGGACTGTGGTAGGAAGTGACCAAACTAGAGGTAGATGGGTGCTGCTTTTAGTAGAGTGTTCAGGGTCACCTCTCAAGAGCTGATATTTGAGCTTACACCTACCCAGCCACTGGAAGAACATTTCAGGCAGAGAAAATGACTAGTAGCACAAAGTCCTGGAGTGGAACAGTATTGACATCCCAGGAAGAAACAGAATTTTAGTTTTTGTCTTATAGTGAGTGACAGTGACTGCCTGTACATGGACATTTTAAATCATGAAAGTCCTCTAACTTTTTGGTTAACTTGGAAGATGTTACTCAGTAATGTAGCCTTACTCCTGAGTCAACAATCAGTAATTCAAAGGATCATTTATACAATTTCACAGTTCATTAGACAGTGAGGTGCTCGCCTTCCTGACAGATAAGAACCTTCTTTACTTCTTTCTTGTTAATTCTTGGACAAGTCCAAGGAATTCCTTGAGTTTCTGTAATGAATTATTGCACAGTAATATGCTCAAGTGAGTTAAAGTTCTGCACTTGTGTGTTTGAGTGAAGTCAAACATTGACTTTTTTGTATCTTTCAGATCCTTCAGGGCATTGACTGACACTGAAATGGTGTCTTGAAGGTTGTTTTGATTTGGTTTTCATTTTTTGTGTTTGTTTTGTTTTGGTATATTTAAGCAAGGAAGTAACTTGTAAATGTCCATAAACTCCGTCATATGGATTATTCCTCTAGGAATTAAAAGTCTGCAATTGCTCATTTTTAGGATTTTTCTCCAGTTTAATTTCTCAACAATCACTGAGAAGCCTTGGCAGTTGGCCCTATAGTTACAAAAGAGAATAGAACATGCAGATTATACTTGATGGGGGCCTTGGGGGGCTGATGGGCGGGGGAAATGGGGCCTCTGATTTGGTATCATGTTTGCAAGGTTAGTTTCTTACTGCTCCAGGGGATCGTGATAGCATGCTTCTTCAAATATCAGTAATAGTTTTTATCTTTCGCTAGATGTGATCCTGAGAATAATGGAAATACTGTCAGTGGAACTGAGGCAAAACATAATGACTCGTAACAGTGTCACCGCCTTGTCTGCCATGTCTTCTCTTTGTAACTTGTTTAATGAGATAGTTAGCTAAAAGTGAATGGCAGAAACTTGACCGGTATGTCAGCCATCATGATTCCTCAGATTTACATAGCAAATTAATGGCATCTTCATACTCTCTTGAATTTAAAATGTTCAGTTTCATATTCAGATACTTCCATTCATCAGATTATCAGATTCTTATGACAAGTAACTTAAGAGTTTTCTCTTTGTTATCGTGGCTACATGACTTGATGTTCATTATGTTAGGTTACTTGTGCTGTCTTCATACATTTTGGCGTGCTTTAAATGTCACTAATTAAAGTCAAGTGTAGAAAATAAGTTGCCACTTATATATCCAGAGCTCACAATATGTTAATCAAGTGGAAAAACAATTAGGGTTTGGATCTTCTCCCATTTATTTGGTTTTACAACATTCTGTGCTTGGGAGAAATCTCTCTGAGGCTTTTTTTTTTCCCTCTGCCTGACCTAAATCTCTTCATCTTTTAATATCCAGTGGAAATTCTGCCTGAAGTTAACCTTTCTCTAATTTATAGTAATTCTTGTCCTAAGTCAAATATCTTTGCTATTTTTCAACTCTCATGTAGTTTAGTAAATGTTCAGGAAGATTATAAGTTGAGGTCAGGACTATGGCTAGCATACCATTGGACTCATTAGTATAGGCTCAGTATATTTTTCTACTCTGAGCCTAAAAATTTGGCTGCATTATTTATATTCTATAACTCGTAGGGAAGGAGATGCCAGTGGAAGTAGCAATACCTGTTAATAAAAGAAATTTGCTGTTAATTTAGACATCTGCCGACTCTAGCTTCTATGCCTCTAAACAGACTAATCTTATTTTTCTCCAAATTGTATTTTCCTTTGAGCTGTATATTTTGAGATCTTTGCAGGCCTTAATTCAGTCACTTCATTCTCCTTTACTGCACAAAGTATTTCACTGTTTGAAAAAACTATAAGTTCTTCAGTCCCGTGGACTAATTTTAACAAGAATAACCAAAAACTCATAGTTTTTAAAAAAATAATAATAATAATACAAATATAAAAAAAAACAGAAAAGTGGCTTTCATTTGAAATGAACATTTAGATTTTATTTTTCCTAATCTGAAGCATTATAATGGCAGAAAACATTTTGTTTAGAGTGTTCTATTTGTGGGAAGAAAGCAGAATTTTACTTGAGACAGTTGCTTGAATTAAAAAGTAAAACAATGTATAATACAAAACAGATGTTCCCACTGAGATTTTGTTTTGCCTTGAGGACACTTAGTGTGATTTTGCTGGACATTGATAATAGAACACATCTCACCACTTGATTTTTTTTTTTTTTAAGTCTGTATTCCCTTCTTGTTCAGTGAGAAAAGCGATATGACTTACTGACGTTTCCATGTGAATCAGAACCAGAGTCAACGGACTTAATAGCAGGATTTCCAGCTTGATTCTTAGCTGTCTGAGCAGGAGTGCCTCCCTGAGGAGTCAAAGATAAAAACAATTTTTTTTTTAATAGAAGATCTTTATTTTACAGATACAGCCGAGGTTTATTAACCCACTGAAAAATTTAAGACGTCTTGGAATCAAAATGGTAACTGATATCTTTTTGGATTGGGAGTCCTATCAGTTCAGAACAGAAGAAATTGATGCAGTGTTTCATGGTGTAGTTTGGCCCCAGGTAAACCTTGATGCCCGCCTTCTGCCCAGATGCTGTCTGCCCTCTTCTTTGTTACTGCTTTACCCACACAGTCTACCCCCGGCACAAATGCTTATCTTGGCCTTTTCTGTCATGTCAAGCCGTTCTTTGTTTCTGGAAGTTTTAGAACACTTTTCTTTGCTTCCACTACCACCAAAAGCTCAAGAGCTAGTTTCTCTGGTATAGTAGCATTTATACTTAAGGCTAATTTGAATAGGACTGTGTCTCTTAAGCAAATGCCATATAACTCTTGTAGCACCTCACATGGTATGCCTCTGGGTTTTGACAAGCATGAGGAAAAAATACACCGGGATTTTTGTTGCACGTTTCCTTGTTTGGTTTCTCTGGTTGTCCCCACTTGGTGATGATAACTGGTGTAGTTATAGCTCAGACTGTAGCAGAGACTTGATCTTAGGCACAGTTGCTCACAGTTCAGTTTGTCCTTTAAATATTAATCTCTGTCTCTTGGCTCTTGTATCCTCGTGTGGCTTCTGTTCTTGTTCTGCTTTTCAGTTGTTTTTTTCCTTCAAGTCTGCATATGTTCTGTTCTTGTCTTGTTTTTATTTTGTATCTAGATCAGCAGGCTCGGATCTGAAAGTCAATATTCTCCTACTCCTCTACTGAAACTAATTAGTATCTGGTGCAGAAATGCAAGGTAAAAATTTTTTTTTCTCCTTTTAAAAATGATGGTATCTTAGACTAATCTAGTCAAAACTAATAAAGGGAACTAATGGTGTCGTTTATGCTCTTTCCACGTAGTGAACTATGTATAGTGCAGTTAAAGAGAATAATTGAATCTCAAAATCCATAGTTTAAAGAAAAGTGCAATTTGCTGAATAATAGGTGTAGTGTGATCCAGGAAAAATGCTTTTACGTGTGTATCTATGTATAAATATAAAGTGAAATAGGAAATCAGTAAAAGCTAATTTGTAATTGGCATTCTAATCTTTTTCTCAGTTCCCACTTAAAAAATTTCATAGGCTCCATGGATATTCTAGGTCTTTTTCTTCTATTCTTTATAAAACGCCATCTAAATTTGCACACAGCACTCATGGTTGCAAGTCAGTATCCCTTTATGGACATTATGAGCCATTAACAGAACCTTCATCAACTGATGGTTCAGAGATGCTATGTTACAAACTGAATGCATATTTACTGAAGAGTAATGGAAGCAGACTTAAGTTTGTTTTATCTATTTTGAAGAACAAAAGATAGAATAAAGGAAAATGTGTTTTATCATTGATTCAGTGATGTTAAAATCTTGGCATCAGTTTTTACAAAATTGGGATCATACCGTATAGCAAATTTTTTATTTTGTTTTTTCTTATATATTTTGTCATGAATATTTCCCCATGTCATTAAGTAGTCTTCAGAAACAAACTGTACACCTTGACATTGTCTTCCTCAGGGAAGCCTATTTTTGTCTTCACTGTCAGAAGGGCTCTTTTAATTCCCAGTTGGATAAAGTGATTTCATATCTTGTTTTTTCATTGGATGTTTATAAGCAGCACTTCATAGGCATACTTGAGAAATGTTTTATAGTTGTATCATTGTTACACAAATAAGGTATGAAGGACTTTCACTGAAGAAGACTTTACAATAGTGATTCTGTTTTTATGTTAATTAGGTCCTCATCAAGGATAGAGCCACATCACTGAATGCCATTTCATCCTTTTCTACAGTTTCTCTCTCGTTGACAGTAGAGATGATAATATGTAAACTGTCTTGTTTGGTGCCTGCCCACACTGTCCCCAGTATCTATTGGACAAACTTGTATGAATATAACCTCTTAGAACTTTTCTTTGAGTTTGTCAGGACTAAACATGTTCAAGGGCTTGAGCTCTTTTTCCAGTGATGATGAATTGGTAAAGCCAAACTATTTGAATTTTTTCAGTTTGACCTTCCTACTGATTTTTAGGAACGCATCTCTGGCTGTAAAACAGCTGCTGGTTTACGTGTAGCTAGAAAGTTTTTGTGTTCCCTGCTCTTTGGGGCATTGTTTGTCTGAGGCTTTCATTATTGGGGATGGGTTCATCACCTTTCCTATCACAAATGATCCTAGTCTGAATGTTGCATATCCTAGATAAGCAAATGTTAGTTTGACCTGTGGTCTGTACTACTAACTTTCATGTTGTAGTACATTGGTTTTTATGTGAGTATATAAACATTCACATCCTAGAAGGCTTATAATTGAAAAATAGCCTGTCTTTAGTACATTTCTCTTAGAACTAGCAGTTCAGAGCTCAGTTTTACCACTTATTAGCTCAGTGGCTTTGGACAATTCTGTTTCTGCATCTGTAATGTAGAGATAAGCATACCACCATAACATAGAGATATTATGAAGATTAACATATACATAAAAAGAGAAATATACATAAAATGCCAAGATAATATGAGAAATATACATAAAGTGCCAAGATAATATGAGAAATGGACATAAAGTGCCAAGATAATATGAGAGATGTACATAAAGTGCCCAGATAATATGAGAGATGTACATAAAGCGCTCAGATATGAGAGATACACATAAAGCACCCAGATAATATGAGAAACACACATAAAGCGCTCAGATAATATGAGAGACACACATAAAGCGCCCAGATAATATGAGAGACACACATAAAGCGCCCAGATAATATGAGAGACACACATAAAGCGCCCAGATAATATGAGAGATACACATAAAGCGCCCAGATAATATGAGAGATACACATAAAGCGCCCAGATAATATGAGAGATACACATAAAGTGCCAAGATAATATGAGAGATTTACATAAAGTGCTGAGATAATACAATGTTTGTATGGTGCCTAGAATTATTATCCATCAAATTTTAAAGTAATTTCCTTTCTGAGTAACCTTATTAGCTAGCATTCATCTGCACACATACACATATATCTTCATTAAACTCTGAAAATCCACGAGGAACATGTTTTTAGAAATAAACGTATTGAGAAAGAAGGTGACTGTTTCAATGTTTCCTCTTGCAGATATTTCTGTTTCCTGGCTAAACAGAAACCTGGGCACCCAGAATGTGATATCCTGACCAATGTTTTTGCGATTCTCTCAGCAAAGAACCTCTCTGAAGCCACAGCTAGTCTTGTGATGGAAATAGCTGACGACCTTCTTAGCCTTCCAGATTTTGAACCCTCAGAAGCAGTTTTGAGCTTGCCGGTGACAGGATGTGTATACACAGAAAGTGCAGATGGTATGTAAGCTGTACAGAGCAAAGGGTTCTACTTTTGAGGTATCATTTGTACCCTCAGAATGAAAAAGTCAATAGAATCTGACTCTTCAGATAATCTAGGTTATTAAGAGAGTTTATCTTCTCTAGGAATCAATACCTAGATTAATTAAATGCCTAATAATTCAGTTTATATAAACTGAATTTTCTTTGCAGTAGTTAGAAATTCAGATTATTTACACTCCAGAAAGCTCAACTGTCCTCTAGGACATTATCGAATGATTTCCACTATCATGTCTCTGAATTGTTCTTACCATATTATCCTAACAGTTCTTTTAGTGTTACTAAAAGTGGTTTAAATAAAACCTCAAAGGTCTCATATCAGATTTTTAATTTAGATAATGATTAAGGAAGCCTGGCATGCCGCAGTCCATGGGGTCACAAAGGGTCAGACATGACTTAGTGACTGAACAACAACATAGATGTTTTAACTAAGAAGAAATTTATTTAATCTTGGAGGTTGAAATGTATGAAATTTTCATGCTAATTGAGTTCCTGCCTTTTCTGGCATTGAGAAGATATTGTACAGTTATCTTTTAAGAGTGTAGTTAATTAAAATCAGTACATTTATCTTTATTTCAGAGTCTATCACAATAGGAGGACGATTAATTCTACCTCATGTACCTGCTATTCTCCAGTATCTCAGCAAAACCACAATAAGTGCAGAAAAGTTGAAAAAGAAGAAGAATAGAGCACAAGTCAGTAAGGAACTTGGCATTCTTTCAAAGTAAGTGGTCTGTTGGTCCTTAAAAGGTAATGTTACAACTTGGGGTTTTAATTTTTTAAAATTATATTTGGTGTTTCATTTGCTTTAGCACGGTAAAGTTTAAAGGTTTAGGTTAAAGGTTTTAGGTTAAACCTAAAAAGGTTTTCAGTATTTTAAATGTCCTCCAGTTTTAAGTTTATATAGAATTCTCTTTCTTTGCTGGAATAGACCTTTTATGGCATCTGCCTTTATTATAAAAGATAACAGAATTTTCAAAATTCTAAGGTAGACTAATAGATTTGCTTTATTAGTCTTTGCATATTTTGTTCAATTAGAATTTTGAATTATGTGAGATTATAAAGTTGTAGTTTTTTAGTGGGATTGATGAAAATAACTAACAAGAGAACAGGTTGCTGTGTTTGTTTTTTTTAAGAGTCAAGATCTTGCAAGGGTTTTTAAAGATTTTCTTAAAAATTCTCTATATACTACTAGACCTGGTAGTAGGTAACTGTGATTTCTATAAAGTGTCTGGTTGGTAAATCTGAGTGCACAGAATGATTCTGCCTTTTTTTGTGGAGGGATAGACCATGCCATGTGGTTCCCTGACCAGGGATCAAACCTTTGCCCCCTGCAGTGGAGGCATAGAGTCATAACCATTAGACCGCCAGACAATTCCCCCAGAATGGTTATATCTTAAACTCTAAATTGTTACAGGACTTAGTTGTTGAAAGTTTATTTTTTCTGTTACTTTCAGCAACAACAGAAAATGATGTGTTGAGTCTTCTAAGAACTTCTTTTAAATGTTTTGTTTATACTAGTGTATTTCTAACTTATGCAGAACGGGAAACCACACCAAATATCCTTAAAATATTTTGTCATAGGCCATGTGGTAGTGAGGTGATGGTGATGATTAGTGCCAGAAAGACCAGGGTTTGGAAGACCTTCTCTGCCACTGCCTTTTTGGTGACATCAGTTTCTCTGAGCCTCAATTTTCTCTGGACAAAGTGGGGTTAATAATTCCTACGTTATACAGCTTTTGTGGAAGTTAAATTGAAATGTATATAAAGCCTAAAACAAATCTCGACCCTTAAAAATGTTGTTTCCTTGCAAAATAAGCAATTACCAGTGCACAGTCAGTTGTCACAAAGACAGTGGAGTGGCAGCCACCAGCCTGAAGGTGGAGGGAGAGTGGGCGCTGTTCAGAAACTGCTCACACAGTTACAGGCTGCCTGGGTCTTTCCTCGCTGATGTTCTTCTACAAAAAGTTTAACTTCTTGGGAAATATTCTCATGTTACATATCTTCCTTACCTGTCCCATTTGTTTTTCCTTCTCCAGGATCAGCAAGTTTGTGAAAGAGAAAGAGCAGAGTTCTCTGCTCATTACCCTGCTCCTGCCCTTCCTCTGCCGCGGCGGTGTTGCTCAGGTATGAATTCACAGCAGTGATTTGTTTTTGAAGTGACAGTTTATTAGGTTTATTTGTGAAAAATAATTCTGTTGGTTAGAGTCTGTGAGATATTTGTCTCAGAGTATTTGTGAGAAGACTTCATAAAGAAATATAAAACTGAAAACAGGGGAGAAAAATTGGGACAGAAATGAATGAGGGCAGGCCAGAAAGTGAAGACTTCATCACCTACTATCACAGTAAAAGGCTCACCTCTTTGTTTTCCTTTGTTTAGCTTCTAATCCATTTCAGGGTTTTTTCCCCCCTCTCTGACTTTGATCAGTAACAAATCTGAAATGTGAGGTGTGCATTGATCTTAAATGTGAATGATAGTGATCTTAAATAGGAATGGCAAACTGAGTGAAAAGTCAAACTGTTTTCATATTCACACATTGCTGAGAGTCTCTGGTATGATTTTCAAACCCTAGTTTAGTCTTTATTTTTTAAAAGAGTCTCCCCATTTCTCACACTCATTTATAAAGCCTAGTTATACTAAATGACTCTTACCATGTAGTAATTTAGTTTTAGAAGACCACGCATTTCTGCACAACCAAAAGTGTGTGTTTTTTGTCAGCAAGTTTATTTTCTTTGTTTCTTTTTTGACTAGAAAATAGAAGAAATTATGTTTTAAAACCATGCATGTTTTCTATTAGAACTAAAGGAAGAAACTGTTGCTGGACACTATTATGGGTTTTTGGTCAAGTTAAAATGTTAAGAACTTTTAAAAGACCATAAAATAACTTTTCTAATTACTACTGCTTTTACTTGTTACACATATTTATTTGTGTTCTGTGCTGTGATATATTAAAAACAACATGACCAGTTTTCTGAATTACTGAAATATGATTTCTCTCCATGTTATTACTTCTTAAGGATACAGAAATCGATATTCTGGTGACAATACAAAACCTGCTGAAACACTGTCTGGAGCCTACAGGCTTCCTCAAGCCTCTAGCAAAACTCTTCTCAGTCATTAAGAACAAGATGTCAAGACAGTTGCTTTGTACAGTTTTCCAGGTCTGTAATATTCATTTCTATCCTAAATCCCTCCTTTTTCAAAAGATAACTATGACATGGAATGCATATTAGCAGCTTTCTTGGTGCCAGTATGATGTTTCCATATATTTTTGAGTGCAGGCAGGGAATCAAAGGGGATGGTGAGCAGAGAAGTTAAGGTTGTATTCACTAATAATACACTGCTTTCATTCCTTTTAGACCCTTTCTGATTTTAAGAGTGGATTAACATATATTACTGATGTTGTCAAGGTAAGAAAGAAAATCTTAAGTCTCTTTTGCTTCAAAACTATTATTATTTTCCTTATTTAAGATTTATATACCTTCATTTATATGGTTTCACTGGCATTTTTTGTAGCTTAGCGCCTTTGATCAAAGACACCTTGATGATATCAACTTTGATGTTCGCTTCTCGGCGTTCCAGACAATTACCTCTTACATTAAAGAGATGCAAACTGTGGACATTAACTACCTAATTCCAGTTATGCATAATTGTTTCTATAACATGGAGGTAGGTTTTTTATAGTAAACCTTTGTGGATTGTTTTTTATTATTTTGACAGTACAACCGTATAACCTAATTTCTTAATTTGGTTTTTGAGGGCAATGGGATTTTTAGTATAAAATTTCTTTTAGTTGCACAATATTTAGCAAAGACCATACTGTTATTCTCATGATGTGAAAGGCAGATATTTTGAAAAAAATGATGTATGTAGAAGCACTTTGAAAAGTCAAAAGCTGTGTATTAGAATGGGAAAATTCATAGAGACAGAAAATAAATTAGTGGTTATCAGGAGCTGTGAGGGGAAAAAGAAATGAAGAATGAGTGATTATATTATAATGGGTACAAAATTTCCTTTGGGGATGGTAAAAATTTTCTAAAATTAGATGGTGGTTGTGGTTATAAAACCTTTGGAATATACTGAAAACCATTGAATTATACAACTTAAAAGGGTAAATTTCATAGTGTGTCAGTTAAATATCGATTTTTTTTTAAGTTAAATAGCTATATTATTTGACAGTTGCCCTCTTTTATTGATACAGTAGAAATAAAAAGGTTTGGAGCTATATATTAAGTGCCGTGTTGCTAAAATAAATTAAATTTCAAAACTAGGGAAAATGAAGCCCTTGCTTAATAGTTAACTATGTAGTGGTATCAGTAATCTTTTGTGGTATTTTATAGTTATTTGTCAAATATTAAGGATAAAATAATAGAGGAAAAAGTAATCTCCCCATTTGGGGCTCATTCTTCATATATTATCAAAGTTCAACGTGAGGGATTCTGAATCACTGCCTGGTTGGCGTAGTTGAGAATACTTTTCTACACTTACAACCCACCTTCTTTATAAACGAGGAACTCTGGAGCAGCTCACCAGAATTATACCAGCCAGCTCTGTCCTTCTGAGTGAGCAGCTGGTTTTGAATATTGAAACTGGCTTTAAAGGGAACCTTTTGTTCTCTTTGCTTTGAAAAATAAAGTTAATTAAAAAGTGTATCTCATACTTCATTTAAAAGTGGGGGGAGTGGGGAGAGAAAGAAAAACAACCCATGATGTATAAAATACCAAATTTCAAAAGACAAAAGCAGTAATTTTACAAAAGTACATCTCATAGTGTTTTCTCAAATAATCGACCCTTCTCAGTAAGCATGATTTTTCCAAGTCACTTACTGTGTTCCTCACACCCCTATATTTGTTCTTCCTTAAGTTTGAAGTACCTGTGGGACATTTCTTAGTAGAGAGTTTTATACAGAAGAGTGGCTAAATCTTATTTGGGAAATAATAGTCCATGTTACAGTTATTGCACAGTATAATTTGGGCTTTTTCTTGTGTCCAGTTAGGAGACATGTCTTTAAGTGATAATGCAAGCATGTGCTTGATGAATATCATCAAAAAGCTTGCTGCTTTGAATGTCACAGAGAAAGAATATAGAGAAATCATTCATCGTTCTCTCCTAGAGAAACTGAGGAAAGGATTGAAGAGCCAGACAGAGGTATTGGGGTTTGCAATTAAGTACTTGTTATCTGTGGGTTTTTGTTTTGTTTTCCTGCAGTTCTGCTATAATTTGTGGAAAAGCAGACAGCCTCAGTACACTTAATTAAAATACCTAATTGTATAAATACTTACCAGACTTTTAACAGGGGAGTGGAAACGGAGAAGAGAGCAATCATTTCTGATTTTATGTAGTTTGTTTTTACATTGGGAATGTTTTACTTTTTAAAAAAATTTAATGACTTTTTGGTGTTTCTTTGTGTTAATCAAATTCTTTAAAAAAAATTTTTTTTTCTTAACTTGATATTTGCAGAGTATTCAACAGGATTATACCACACTGCTTTCCTGTTTAATTCAAACCTTTCCAAATCAACCAGAATTTAAAGACTTGGTTCAGCTTACTGATTGCCATGATCCAGAAATGGACTTCTTTGAGAATATGAAGCACATTCAGGTAGAAGACAGTTCTTTTTTTTTCCCCCTTTCCTCCTTTCCCCATTTCCCCCAAATGTTTGAAACAAACATTTCAACGGTTCTCATTTTAAAAGATATATTTTAATTTTCCAGAAAGTTTTGAGCTTCTCATTTCTTGGTCTTTGTGGTCATCAGATTTGCAAAGGACATGCTTCTTTACTTGGTGGTATCAAAAGCCATAATAATAGTGTCACCTTTCTTTGCCATTTGCTAAGAAGTTTAAATGCTCTAGGATCCATTGGTAAAGAAATGCTATGCATTATGTCTCTGGAAACAAATCAAGGCACAGGTGTTTGCTCATGTAACACTTGGATTGTATTTCACTCTTTTAATTTTTCATCGAAGAGGAATATGACACTGAAATGGAGCCGGTGGGTGGTGAGCTCATTCAGTAACTAATTTATATTTTATTTAACTCATAGATCCACAGAAGAGCAAGAGCCTTGAAGAAACTGGCAAAACAACTAGTGGAAGGCAGAGTCGTGCTGTCTTCTAAGTCTCTGCAGAATTACATCATGCCTTATGCTATGGCACCAGTTTTTGATGAGAAAATGCTCAAGGTAGAGCTTTAGCTGTAGAAGCCAGTACATTTTTCCCTGTACCATGACAGAACTTCTGCAGAGTATACGTGGGATTCGTGGCATCCATACTGATGTTGTTCACCATAATTAGAGACTTAAAGTAGTTCTTTAAAAGAACAGATCTTATAAAAACCCTTAAAATTGTTCCAGGCACATGCTCTAAAAACAGTGTCTATTATTTTATGTTCACTATTATTAGCTCACAAAGGCTAACCACAGAATATTTCCTTTCACAGAAATGATCACATCACCAAGATGTCATACTTTTATTTTTGTATCATAGGCCTTAATTCTCATTATTTTCCCAGATGGCTCATAAGAAATGAAATACATACCTTTCGTCAGCATTATACCAGATACAGGCACAATTCTGATTTAATCCTCACAGCAATTCAACCCTATGGTGTAGGGACTGTTACCGCTATTTTATAAGAGAATAAACTGAGAATCAGTGAGGTTATATAACTTTCTCAGAGACATACAGTCAGAACCTGTATTTGAACTCAGAATGTCTTCAGTTTTATACTACATATGCCTAAGAATGGGTTTCCCTGGTAGCTCAGACAGTAAAGCATCTGCCTGCAATGCAGGAGAACCAGGTCAGGAAGATCCCCCGGAGAAGGAGATGACAACCTACTCCAGTATTCTTGCCTGGAGAATTCCATGGACAGAGGAGCCGGGCAGGTTACAGTCCATGGGATCACAAAGAGTCAGACACAACTGAAGAACTGACACAGTGCCTAAGAACAGTGCCTGCACATGGTAAAGACTTGATAAATATTTGAGTCTCATGGACCTCATAGCAGGATTTGTGACTTGATTATATGATTTTGTTCAAGGATAGGTTTTCTCTGTTTTTTCAGGATGTTTAAAAGATTTTTAAAAATTTCCTAAGTAGGTAAAAGAATGTGTCCCTAAATTCCAGTTTAAGGAGCCAGTAAGCACCTCAGAGTTAGATGGCAGTAGAACAGGAAAGAGGTGTAGGTGGAAAAAAATAAACCATTTAGCTTTGGTTGGTATTGGTTTGGTATACCTTTCTATTATTTTTAACCTATTTGTGATTTTTACTTTTCTTTTTAAAGTTGGTTTCTTGTAGGTAACATATATAGCTGAATCTTGCTTTTTTACTTAATCAGACAGTCTCTGTGTTTCAATTAGTTTTAGACCATTTGCATTTAATGATTATTAATATGGTTGGGTTTTAATCTATGATCTTGTTTATTTTCCATTTGTCCCATTTTTTCCTCTCTTTCCTCCTTTCCTTCTTCTTTTGGATTAACTGGATATTTTTTTTAGTGACTTTATTTTATCCCTGTTGGCCTGTTAGTTATCTTTGTGCTGTTTTTGTTTCATAAGTTTTACCTGTATGTTAGCTTTAAACCACATAATACACTGTTGTTTTTGCTTGAAACCATCAGCTATCTTTCAAAGAGATCTTTAAAACTAAAGAAAAGATCTTTTATATTTGTTTCCATGTTTATAATTCCGAGTATTCTTCATTCCATTGTGTAGGTCCAGATACTCACCCTGTATCATTTTACTGACAGGAAGACTTTCTTTAAATTTTTGTAGTGCAGGTCTACTGGTAATGAATTCTTTCAGCTCTTGTTTGTCTTTTCTCATCTTTGTTTTTGGAAGATAATGTTTCTAGGTATGGAATTCTAGTTTGACAGGTTTTGGATTTTTTCCCCAATACTTTAAGAATACTTTGAACCGACTCCTTGTTTATAGTGTTTGCCAAAGAAGTCGTCCTTTGTTCTGAGTGGCCCGTCTCTCTCCCCCTCCCACCCACCACCCGTTTTTCTCTTTATCACTAGTTTTAAGGCATTTGATCATCAGGTGCCTTCCTGCCTTACTGTTTTGTGCTTGGAGTTCATTGAGCTTCTTGGATCTATATTTTTGTAGTCTTTGTCAAACTTTGAATTTTTTGGCCATTATTTTTTCAAAGATATTTTTGGTTCCCCTTCTTGTCTTTGCAGATTACATCATATATTAGGCTATTCCAAATTGTCCCATATCCCATAACTCACTGAGGCTTTTTTTTTCCTTCTGGGTTTCATTTGGTTTCATTTTTCTATTACTGTGTCTTCAAATTCATTAGTGTTTCCTTCTGCCTTGTGTAATCTACTGTTAATCCCATCCAGTATATCTTCCCTCAGAATTGTCTTTTCTGTCTCTGTAGTTCAGTTTGGGCCTTTTTTATGCCTCATATGTGTCTCCTTAACATGCTCATGCTTTCGTCTCCCTTCTTGATCATTTGCAGTACAGTTATATCGTGGTTTTCTGTGTCATCTGTGTCATTTCTGTGCTTCTGTTGTTTGATTCGTCTTCTCATTAGATTTATTTTTCAGCTTCTTTGTATGCCTGGTAATTATTTATCAGATGCCAGACATCATAAATTTGCCTTTGCTAGGTGCTGGGTGTTTCTGGAATTGTTTTCAGACGCATCTAGGCTGCTTGTGAGTAGCCTGGTCCTTTTGAGGCTCACTTTTAAGCTTGTAGGCAGGAGTAGCCCTTGGTGCGATGCTCGTGTGAACCTACCACTGAGGTACTAACCTGAGTGCCCGAATACCCAGTACTCCAGGTATCGGGAGGTTTGTCACCCTGGCCGCGAGGAGCATGAGCTCTCAGCCTTGTATGGTCTTTGATGATTGCTGCATGTTTCCCTTCTTGGTAGTTGTCTCCTCATCTCTTCCTCACTCAGTGCGTACGGGTCAATTCACAGCTGAAGCTTAAGGGGCTCTTTGGGCGGCCTTTCTCTCTGTGTGACTCTTCTCTCTAGTACTCTGCCCTATGAGCTCAAGCTCCACAGCCTCATCTCTGACCCCTTAGCTCAGGGAGATGCAGGTCTCTCTTGGGGTTTCTTCTCCTGTGCTATGGCCTGACAGTGATCCCCACACAGTCAGCTGAGGGGAGTTATAAGGCTCATTTCATTAGTTTCCTTTCTCTCAGGGGTCACTGTCCTACACTGATGTCCAAAGTCTGAAAACCGTTTGATGTATTTTTCTCTGCTTTCCTAGTTAAGGTGTGAGAGTGAATCCAGCTTCTCTTCTCCATGAGGTCTGAAAGAGTTGTCTCCAAAGCATCGTGCTGATGAGTGCTCACCAGTGCAATCTAGAGTTAGCTTTGACATTTATCAACTTTTACACCTTGAACTTACTTCACAGTTGTAGGCTTGAACCTACTTCACAGTTGTAGGCTTGAACCTGTAAAGGAGGTCTGAATGAAATAGAGTCTAAAATGTGTTAAATCCTTTAATGAAAGGAAGATATCATTTGAAATTGACAGAGGCTTTTCCATAGCTAGAGGAAAACTATTTAACATAGTTTGTGCATTCTTTCCTTTCTATAATTTCTTATCACCTACTATCTAAGATTTTTACTGTACCAAGTTAGCTGTGTATGTGTATTTTATTTGCAGATACTTATTCTTACTGATGCTCTTGATTTGTTTTACAGCATGAAAATATAACCATTGCTGCCACAGAAGTTATTGGAGCTGTTTGCAAACATCTCTCTTGGTCAGCATATGTATACTACTTGAAACATTTCATTCATGTCTTACAGGCAGGACAGATCAATCAAAAGTTGGGTGTCAGGTATGGCCAAGCTTCTTATTTTGTTTTGTTTTTGAAATGTAAAATTTGGATTCTTTTCTGAAATAACCTTTCTATAATCCCAGTTTATTTTTAATTTGTATCAATGAGGTGATAACTAAGATTTGTTAAAGTAAAAAATACCTAAAATAGGTAAAAGTAATTTTTATAAGTCTAACTTTCCTTTTAAGAGTCAAATGATATTATTAATCAAATGAATGTTTCTGTGAAAATTTTTTTAACAGTTTGCTAGTGATAGTGTTAGAAGCATTTCACTTTGACCACAAAACTCTTGAAGAACAAATGAGAAAACTTCAGAATGAAGAGGGTAAGTTTTTTAAACTTTCTTAAACCAGATTTCCTTCCTATTCTTCTATTATTTATTATTATGAATTAAAGATGGCAAAATTCAGCTTAACTCCCTTTTTCTGCTCTTGTAGTAGTGACCAGTGAATGAGTCAGGAGAAAGTTAAAATGAATGGCTTGAGTATTAATTCTGAAAACTTGTTTAACAATAGAGAAGTCCAGTCTAAAATGTACAGGGCAAAAATCTGAGCTGTAGATTATTTACACAGAAATTCTCATTTGTCCTCATAAGAATCATACTAGAACCTTAGGTGTTAGTTACTCCATATTTTTTATATGAGAAATTGAGATTTCAGATGTAAAGTAACTTTCCTAAAGCTGCACAGTCCATAAACAAAACAAAGGCTAATGGATAGCTGTCATTTATTAAGGTCAGTGAAGTGTCAGAAATGAGACTTTATCACATTTAATCCTTATAATAGCCTTGCAAGTAAACCATTTCCAGTTTACTGGTGAAGAATCCAAAGCTCACAAGAGTTAAATTAATGGACTGTAGTCTTGGCTTGTTAGCAGAGCCAGGTCTGGACTTGCCCCACTACACTGCCCAGTTTGCATCCTGTAATCAGGGACATTTCTGCATGAGCCCTGTTGGCTGCCATTATGATGTTCATGAACAAGAATGTAGGTTTTTGCCAACATCTGTTGGATCATCAAAAAACTATGAGAATTCCAGAAAAACATCTACTTCTGCTTTATTGATTACGCCAGAGCCTTTGACTGTGNTTTAGTCAAGACTATTCTGGCTAGGTTTGTTCAATGCTGCAAAATGAGGAAAGGTTTAAGGTTTAAGCCAGTAGAAACTGTTGATATCAAATATAATAGTATATTTTGAAAAGCGAAAACAATCTAGATCTAAATTTGTGGAATTAATATGCATAGGTAGAAGAATTGGTGGACAGAAAGTCTATATACAAACATTCTCTCTCTACATATATCCTCAACTAGACAATAAAAATCGCAAACCATGAAGTTTCAATAACATTAAATATCCAGGGAAAAGTTAACCAAAAATGTGGAAGTAGAGCATGAAACTTTATTAACAGAACTTTAACAGTCAAATATACAGCATAAGAACAGCATAGATGGTTTCAGTTTATCTTCTTTCAAGCAAAGGTTCCCCTTCACCTATAATATAAACATTAAAGTTACTTAGCAGAACTTTATTTTGATGATAGGAGAGGTATACAAAGTTCACTGCAGTTGTAGTTCTATAAAATGGACTAAAACAAGAACACTAAGGGCGACCCTTTGGCTTACCTTCAGTTCATCCTCTCTAGAGATTTTATAGACTTTTCAGGCACATTATGAGTATTTTTAAAAACACACTACTCTTCCTAGTTATACAAGAAAACAAGGATATTGAGTTCAGAACAAATGAAATCAATGGAACCTATCAGAAGGTAGTTTTCAGTAGAAGGCAAAACTGTACGGATTCAGTAAAATATCTAACAACAAACAACACCCTAAGGAAAACAAAATACACAAAAAATGAAACAAAAAAATCCCCCAAAAATATCATTTACATGTATTGATTTGAAATAATATTCCGAATATAGGATAGCTAAACAGTTGTTACCTCTGTTACTGGTTAAGTAAAGTAAATAAAAAGGCCAGTATTAAATTTGTTTCTTCTCTACTGTGGAAAAGTATAGAAATTTTCATTTGTTTTAGTTTATCCCTGATATGGTTGTTTTAAGTTGGTTCAACATTTGTCCCCCTCTTTCCTTGTGGCCCTCATATAATTCTAAATGTTTCTTTTCACCCTGGAAAGCATTCCAGTTGGTATAATAAATTACATGGTGACACTAATTTTAAGTCATTACTATCACTGGTGACATGGTGACATCGAAATGTGAAGCAGAAATAGAACTGTTTCTCCCAGCCACACCAAAAAAAGAAAGAAAAAAAGGAGAGAAGAGAAGAAAAGGAAGAGCAAGAAAGAGTATGAGTGAGACAGAAAAGCAAGTAGGAAGACAGAAAGAAAGTCTGGAAAAGCAGATATTTTTCCTTGTTTCTAAATGATAATGGCTTTTGAGACACAACTCTGACCAATTTCAAAAGTTCATCTACAGTATCAGTGATGTTTAGTTATTTAGTTACTGTGGGGTATGTTAAATAATATTTGTTTTTCTATCCTGTTAGCCATTTCATCAATATTCTGAAAATATCTGAGTTCCAGATCATACTGTTTTAATTCTGTAATATACTAACTGTTCGTGTCTTGTTCATATTTCTTATTATGTGTATTTGGGCTCTGTCCATTTTCTTCACAGTTATGTAAACTGAGAGGAATGGACTGGGAATTTGGGGTTGGCAGATACAAACTATTACACTCAGAATGGATGAACAACGAGGTCCTACTGTACCACACAGGGAACTATGTCCAGTCTCCTGTGATAAATCACAGTGGAAAAGAATATTAAAAAAATGTATATATGTGTGTTGAAAAATTATGTAAACTAGCACATTGTCTTTATTAGTTGAATTTATTTTCCTCTTCCTAACAGTCCATACCTGTCTTTTATTAAGTATCTCTTTCTTTTTCCCTTAGGTTTATTCTGTTGCTTTTTTTCTTACCTTTTATATTGGATGTAGGGTTTTATATTTATGTACTTTGTAATTTATGTATTGCTCTTTTCAAGTACCACACATATTTAGGGCGAAAATTTTTCTTTGAGAACATTTTAATCATGTTCTGTAGTTACTTGAAGTAGTCTGGAAGTGGTATTTTCATCTAAATGTTCTAATGGAATGGAACAAAAATGTAAAGTGAAAATATTTAGAAGGCAAATGCACAGTAAATTCTTCCCTAACCATGAAGTTCTTCCTTTAAAATCGGAACCATGCAATTAATTGTCAGCAATTTGGAAAACACGTATGTGAAAGATACTGAGTTGACTACCCAGGAAGAACTAGAGTTACAGACTTTGACCTTCAAAACTTTTTAAACTGATGCAACAAAGAGGAAAAATAACATATTTGATATGATTAGAGACGATTATATCATGAGGCTCAGATTTTTATTAGTTCTTTAAGAGTGACAGTGGGATGTATGGCAAAAACCATACAGTATTGCAAAGTGATTATCCTCCAGCTAAAATAAGCAAATGAAGTCGCTCAGTCGTGTCTGAGTCTTTGGACCCCGTGGACTGCAGCCTGCCAGGCTCCTCCTTCCATGGGATTCTCCAGGCAGGAATACTGGAGTGGGTTGCCATTTCCTTCTCCAAAAGAGCTGACTCATTTGAAAAGATTCTGATGCTGGGAAAGATTAAAGGCAGGAGGAGAAGGGGACAACAGAGGATGAGATGGTTGGATGGCAACACTGACTCAATGGACATGAGTTTGAGTAAGCTCTGGGAGTTGGTGCTGGACAGGGAACCCTGGTTTTCTGCAGTCCATGAGGTGGCAAAGATTTGGGCTCGACTGAGCAACTGAACTGAACTGAACTGAACCACAGTACTTTGGAAGCTTTCTTTTGTTTAAGAACCCTCCTTTTTCCCAGCCTCCCCATGTGTTCCTCAAGTACCCTGTACTTGCTGTTCCACTCTTTTTTATAATTATCAGTTACCTATGTCTCTCCCTCATTAAACTAAACTGTAAGAAAGTGAAGAGCCATAATACTCACTTACTTCTGTTTCCTCAGTCTTTATTGTGCCCTTGTAGTTGCTGATTTTTTTTTTTATTAGATGTTGGTAGAAAAGACTACTTAATACACCTGTGTTGTTTCCTCATTTAAGCTGACTTTTGTTGTTACTAAACACAGACATCACAGCAGTGACTGAGTCGCCAGAGCACGGAGCCCTGGAACTGGAGCCCATGGATGAGGACGAGGAGGGCGAATGTGATAAGACTTTGTCGGGCAGGAACAAAGAGCCAGAAAACCGTGACCCAGCTGATTATGAAGGGGCGGCAGCTGAGGAATCTGACTGTATCACAAAGTCCATCTCCTTCCTTCCTCAGAATAAGGAAGAATTGGAGAGAACAATTAAAAATATCCAAGGAACCATAACGGGGGACATCCTGCCCAGGCTTCACAAATGCCTGGCATCTACGGTAATCATTCTGTCCGGGACCCAGCAGGCCTTTGTGAACTCGGGTGTCTGTGGGCCCGTGTCAGACTGAGGCTCCTAACTTCGTGGGTTGACATCAGCTTTTGAATTTTCTTTTTTTCTACATTTCACGTTTCACTTTTCCTTCTGTGATCTCCTCATCTTCAGATCCCTCTCCTGCAGCCAAGGGAGTAATGATCCTTCTTCTTTATTTTTTTTCCCATTTATTTTTATTAGTTGGAGGCTAATTACTTTACAATATTGTAGTGGTTTTTGCCATACATTGACATGAATCAGCCATGGATTTACATGT